TATTTGTAATTACATTTATTTTCAAATCATTTTAGGCTATTTATCAGTATAATTAGAAATTTTTTGTTTTTATTTGTGTTTATTAATTATCATTGTATTGTAACAATTTGCAAATATTGGCTAAGATTTAATTTAATTATGATTACTCTTTATTATTTTCAAAATAATACGATTTAATCACTTAATTATAATTGCTGATAAAATTCAATTTTTTTTTTTACTAAAATTGATTTGATACAAATCTTTTTTATTCCATTTAAATGCTTATCATAATTTACAGATTAGTTAGGAAGTTAAGAAAATTACAGAAATGAAAGTTAAATGTAGTAAATTTCAGATTTACATTTAGCAGTAATTATTTATTATTTATTTTCTATTTAAAATTATTATATTCTTTAAGGTAATTTTTTTTTTTAAAAAGAAAGCATTTTTTTCTTTTTTGAGATATTCTATTTTGTATTGATATTATTTAATAATTTGAAATCACTATACTAATTTTTCTCTTTTTTTTTTTTGCAATAAGTTTTTGCGAGAAAAAACAGAAAAATAAAACAAATATTTTTTTTTTTTTTCTTTCAAATATAAATATTAATTAAACATATAATTCCTTTTTTTTTTATATATTATTTTTTTAAATGTAAAATTTTGATTTTATTTTCTTTTTTTTTTCCCCATTACTTTTTTATGTTTTCTTTTCTTTTCGTCTTTTTTCACTCAGATGCTTCTCCCTTTTTTTTTTTTTTTTTATTCATTTTAAAATTAATTATATTTACATTTTTAAACAATTTAATTTAGCTAATCATAATATAATATTCATATAAATATAAAATTTTGTTTGTTATTTTTATTATAGTTTTCAAAAAATTTTTTTTTCTCTTTTCTTTTGCAATGCTAAATTTATCAAATATTTTGTTTTTTTTTTTTTTAAATTTATCAAAAATTTTCAAGCTTAATATGAAATATGAATGTTACAGCATTTAATCGACATTTTAATATGCCAATGTATCATCGCATTTCTCTGTCTTTTCATCCTTTCTTCTCTTTTCCTTTTTTTTTTTTTTTTTTTGATGTCATCTTGAGATGACTACTTTGTTTTATTTTAGTTTTTGTTTTGCAATAAATATTCAAAATGGAAAGGTTTCTTTTTCTCGTTTCTGTTTTTATTTTTGTAAACATCAAAAAAAAAAAAAAAAAGAATTTAGAAATTTGTAAATATGGTATATGGATGATGTTTTTTTTTTTTTTTTTTTTTTTGGTGAAAAAATAATCCAAAAATTAAGTGTAAACTTTTCGAGAATAAATCTTTCGATGTAAAGTAATGTTAAATAACTAAAAACAAAACAAAAAACAACAAACAATAATTATTGACAAATGTTTTTAGTAGGAAATAAAATGCATAATTAGGATAGAATTTGATTTTATATTACAAATTTGTATGCTAAAAAAAATTCTTTTCTTTCATAACTAATTTTGTTGATTTTTTAATTACAAAAAAAAAAAAAAAATTGGAAAAAAATGTAAAAGAAATTTTAGAAACATTTTTTTTTTTATTTAGTGATCACTTTAATGACACAAATAATTGCCTGATTAATTAATGAGTAAAGCATAGTTAATTAAATATTGATTAATAGATTTAGTAGTAGCCAATTCAGATGTTACTGATAAGATTTGCTATTCTATGATGATAATCAATACTTACTGATAAGATTTGCTATTCTATGTTGATAATCAATACTTACTGATTTCATACAATAAAATGATTCATTACAGTAACATAAAGTTTTCAATGATATTTACAAAAGAATTCATTCAGATTCTTTTTGAGTTTTTTCATATTGAATTGACTGATATAGACGAAATGATAAGCATATCATATTTATCATTTGCCTTTCTCTTCCTTCTCCGCAATTTTCTCTCTCCCTCTCTCTCTCTCTCTCTACGAGAAATAACTAAACTGTTTTTAAAATTAGTCTTTTTTTTTTCTTAAATTTATTATTAAATTTTTATTTTTATTATTATTAATTTATACTAATTTTTATTTTCATTATTTTTAATTTATACTAATTTATATAAAAAAAATATTATTATTATTATTATTAATTTACACTTACATTTTCTCTAATGTAATCAGTATTTTTTGCTATCCTAAAATTGTTAATAAAAAAAATTTTATAAATTTTATGTATAATATCCAAAAAAAAAATTGTCATTCATAATGAAAAACCAATTTGATTTTTTATGTTTATCAAAAAAATTTACAATTAATTTTTAGTTTGCAACTTACAATAAATTATTTCAAACTATGTTGGAATGATTCATCTTATATTGTTTCATTTCAAATTTTTGTTTATTATTATAAAAGAGTTTTTTTTTTTTTTTATTAATAAACATACGTTAACGTAAAACTTTTTTGTCCTTAATATTTTCTTTTGTTTAATCAAATTACACATATAGTTTATCATTTTCTTTTCATCTTCCTTTCTTACAATCTTTTTTTTTTTTATTTCCATTTTTGTTTTTTTTTTTTTTTGTAAAAATTTTTTGCCTATAAAAGAGAAAAAGAAAATTTTACAAAATGTCACAAAATTTTTTTCACTCATTTCACAACCATAATTTCTTTTATCATTTATTATCAGTCAATAAAATACAGTACAGTCGTAGATTACTCACACTTTTATTGTGTGAAAATATTTTAGTGTGCAATTAATCAATTTTTTTTTTTTTTTATAACTTTTAATTTTTGAATTTATTTGAATAATTTTGAAAGTATTAATTAGTTTGCTTATTGACGGTTTACACTAATCACTAGGAGTAATTGTGCTGAAAATGAAATTTAATTGATTCATTACTTATCTTAAAATGTCTAATGAAAGCTTTGATATCATTCATTAAGTTATAATTCGAAAAAAAACTTCCAACTAAAACTTTATTAAAATCATAGAAATGGTTGAAATTAAAAAAAAAAAAAAAGCTCAAAGTTGTTTAACCATTTGAAAATTAAATTACAAATTTCGTATAGAAATTTTGATGATTGCTTTTTGTTATAATGTTTATATAACAAGAAAAGATTTCTTGTTATTATTAACTATTACAATATTTTTGATTTAAATTCGATCTTTGCAGATTTTCAATTTTAAATTGTAATTTTATTTTACTATTCAAAATTTCCGCTGAAAATTTCACTTCAAATTTTTTTACTATTCCTTATTATTCTGTTTTTTTCTCTAACGAATGAAATTGATAAGAAATGAATTTGATATTGCATCAGATATACTTCACTTTTTATTTGAATATCAATGTTTCTCGTCAATTTTATCAGAGTTTATCTTCCAAATATGTTCAATTAGATATTATCATTTTCTTTAAAAAAAAAAAAAGGATTAATAACTAAAATAGCTAGTTATTAAATTATTTTGACACAAAATTACTCGTAAATTTTGCCTACAAATCGAAAACTTTATCAGAAAAAAAAATTTTTTTTTAATTCTTTCTAAGTAATCTTTATGATTTAAGAATGCTCTATTATTAGATCTGATAAAGAAAAAATTTTCCTGAGATATATAATAAACTTTAAAAAGTTAGTCGATAAATGTTGAGAAGTAAAGTTTTAGTAATCGTGTCATTCCAAGAAAAGTTTTAGTAATATTATATATCTCAGGAAAAAAAAATTTTTCGAGAAAAGTTTTAGTGATCGTATAATTTCGAGAAAAGTTTTAGTAATCGTATCATTTCGAGAAAAGTTTTAGTAATCGTATCATTTCGAGAAGCCAGTTGATAATGATCTCATTAAGTAAGATTATATAACTAAGTATATTATGATCTTCATTTATTAATGAATAAAAAAGCACTGTTGAAAATTTCCGGAATACAAAAAATATTGACTACTTTATTTATTTTCTCAAATGTTGTAATAAATTTGCATAATGTATAAAATATTCATATGTAATTGATTTTTCTAACTATATCTTTTAAGTAAAGTATTTTCAGATTTTTTACTGGTAGAAAATAGAATTGTTTCCGGTTTTAACGAATCAGTTTACCAAATACAGAGCAGAAATTCTATCATATCGGAAATATTCGGAAACATTCATGTTTTCCGTTTAGGTCTATTCGATCACTTTGAAAAAGTTAGAAATTTTACAAAATATTTCAAAATATTTTATTAATCTTTGAAACTTAACCCAATTTAATTTACATCATTTCTCAAAAAATAGCTATAAATAGCAAATTAAGAAAAAATATAATTATTCAAATTTTTAAATAAACAAAAAATTCGCTGCTTATATTTTTGTATGTAAATTTAAAATCTAAATTTGCAGTCATTTCATTTATTTCTATTCATATTTCAATTAAATTAAAATGTGGATAAGAAATGATAAAAATAATAGGAAGAAAAATTCATTTATAATTTTTGATTTTTTTTTTTTTTTTTTTTTAAGAAAAAAAGTGACAATAAAAATATGTAACTTATAAAATAATTTTCTCCAAAAAATATCGCTTTTTTTCTTAAAAAAAAAAACAAAAAAATAAAATAAAAGAATTTGTTGACCTTCGTCTTTTTTTTTTTTTTTTTCAATTTATTATTTTATTGTAAAGTAATAATTTTAATGTTTACTTATCAGATATTTTACATTTTGAAGTACTCTTTCCTGTGTCAACTTCACTTTCATTCTATCACTTATTTCTGCTAAAATAAAATGAAAATATTTTTGAAGTGTTACAAAAATGATAAAAATCTTTTCTTTTCTTTTCTTTTCTTTTTATTGCAGGAAGTGATCAACCGGATTGCAGCGGAAAAAAAAAAAAAAAAGAACGGAAAAAAGAAAGAAAAAAAAAAAAAAAAGAGAAAAAGTGACATTTTTGTCAGGAATTCACGAAAAATAAATTTACATAATTCTTATTTCATTTTTCTCTTTTTTTTTAACGCATAGAAAAAAAAAAAATTTTTTTTCTTTCTTTCTTTTTCTTTTTCTGTTCTTTTTGTTGTTGTTGTTGACAAGATGACATTGAAACGTTCATCAGGTGTCTTCTCACAAAGTTCGTTATTTTCATCACTCACTTCAGTACTGTATCGAATGTTTCACATACGTTCTAATCAAAGACGTAATATTTTTCTTAATATTTTATCATTAATTGGAGCATATTGGATTATCACAACATTGATCTCACTTTCTAATCAAAATATTGTATGTTATTTTGTTTTTACTCTAATATCAATGATATTTCTATCATTGAACAGTTAAAAATTGCAATAATATTTAATAAATTTTCTCAATTAATTAAAATTTATAGTAGGATATAAGTATTTTAAAAAAAAAAAAATTTTAAATAGAGAAAGATATAGCTACATAATTGGTTAAGTTTAGATAAAAAGTTTAGTTAAAAGTATTGGTTTATTAATAATTGAGTTAACAATGGAAATATGATTATTGTAGTGATAATATTGATATATTCGAGAATTTATGATGGACAATGATTAGCACTATTAAATGAAAACTTTTGAAATGAAATATAGGTAAGAGCTTATAAATTAATCTTTTAATATTTCATAGGGTGGTTATGTACAGAAACGCGGACTACTGTTAAAAGAACCGGTTGGTCGAGAGTTACAATTGCAAGAAGAAGGTTATATTGCAGTGGACGATTCTAAACAACAACAACAACAACAACGACAAATTAGTAATAACAAAAGTAGAAATGAAAATTTACAAATACTTCGAATTTATGGAAATCTTCCGGAATTGATGGCAAATGAGAAATTAAAGAAATTAAAACGAGAAGATGAAATTATTGAGGAAGATAATAATGGATTAGAAAAGGTATGAAAATGCACTGTTTTCTTTTTAATTTGTAAGAAAAAAAATTTTTTTTTTCAAATTTTTGTATGATAAATTATCGATTGTCAAGTTATCAAAATTATCAATTATCAGAAAGTTTTTGTTTGTCTTTTTTTCTCTTTTTTAGCCTAATATTCCACAACCAAAACGTTTCGTTTATATGGAAGGTAGTCCAATTTATAAACAAGGTGATCCAAATCAACCTGGTGAACTTGGTGCTGGTGTAAAAATTGATAGAAAGGTAATTTTTTTTTTTTTTGAAAAAAGGGGGTGAAAGGGAGAAAGAGAAAGAGAGAGAGGGAGATAGAGAAAGAATATTATCTATTTCATGTATGAACTTATATACCAGAAGAATGGGAAATTTCAGTTAGATATTTAAAAAATGATTGAAACAGATGGGTAAAAAATGATTGAATCGGATGGGTAAAGAATGGTTGAATCAGATGGGTAAAAATGAATGAATTAGTTGAATGGGTAAAGAAATTACTACTATGGAAGTAAAGTTTTGTAGTAATATTAGCACTTTTATTATTATTATTTTTTTTTTTCAATTTTGACTAAAAAAAAATTTTACTTTAAGACTTTAAAAGTTTTCTTTTTAAATCTTTATTACATATTTCATTGATATAATAAAAAACTATTTTTTGGCTATATTTTACAGAAATTATCACCAGAAGAGCGTAAATTATTTGACGAAGGATTTAAACGAAATTCTTTTAATGAATATGCATCAAATATGATTTCGATACATCGATCACTTCCAAATAATACTGATGAATTGTTAGTTTTTTAATTAAGAAAGAATACTAAAATATTTCATTTAATCTATTTTTATAATACTTACAAATTTGAATTCTTTAATTAATTTCTTTCAAAATTGACTATTTTCTTTATCTTCTTTTTTTTCACATCTTTTAACTAATTTAAATAATAAAAAAAACGATGACAAAAGGAGAGAGAGAGAGAAAGGGAGAGAGAAGTTACCTGAAGTATTTTTGATTGATCTTTTAAAACAATATTGGTACATGAAAACGGAAATGATAGTAGGAATTACTGAGAATTCTTAAATTTATGACAATGAAAAATTCTCCATCAAAAGATTCATTTTATCAATTTAGTGTATTTATCCATTTGATAAATTATCATTCTGTATGAAAATTTTTTAAAAAAAAAAGTTTAAACTTAACAAATTTAAACTTTTAAGTTTATGAAAAATTTCATACATCTAAAATTAAAATTTTACAATTCTAGAGGAAAAAATTTTGTATATTTTAGATGTCAAAAAGCATCTTATCGAGATGATTTACCAGATACATCGGTGATTATTTGTTTTCATAATGAAGCTTGGTCAGTACTTTTGCGCACAGTACATAGTGTATTGGAGCGAACACCTGTTCATCTACTTAAGGAAATTATCCTAGTCGATGATTTCTCCGATTTTGATCATCTAAAGGTGATAAGAAGAAAGTGTAAATTATAATTTTGATTTCTTCATTTAAATATTAAAATGTAGATGCTTATCATCTAGATAACAGTTATAAGTGTTTGACAAATAATTGATGATAGGATGTCACCGTGGTGACAATCTAAATCTACATCTTTCTTACTGGTAGTTTATGAGTTTATAATTTCTAATGAAATATACCTCATTAATCATTTTTAACTACTTTTTCTGACACATATTTTGATAGTTCATTTATGATAAATACTACTTGTTAAATTTCATTAATTTATATTCTCATCTTTGATAATCGATAACCATTGGTTCATTTCATAATGAATTAATCTTCATTTTTTTAAATCAAATTTAAATACTATTATTTGCACATATAGTGGCATATCGTGAAGAAGATTTAATTTAATTTAAAGTAATACTAAGATTTAGTGCATAAGTTTTAATTTTTTTTTTTCTATGATACTTAATAATATAAGAAATCATATTAATGATGAAAAAATTTATTTATTATTAAAAAAGCTAAAAATTATACATGAAATTATATATTCATTTGAGAAAAAAGGAAAATCGAATTTAGTATAATTTTGATTTAATTTGCAGAAGCCATTAGAAGATTATATGAGTCAATTTGGTAAAGTTCGAATTATAAGGTTGGAAAATCGGATGGGTTTGATTCGTGCTCGTCTTAGAGGTGCATCGGTAGCAACCGGCAAAGTATTAACTTATTTGGATTCACACTGTGAATGCATGAATAGTATGCAAAATTTTTGCTTCAATTATTTTTTATTTTGTTTTGAATAATTTTTGAAATTGAAAATTTAAGATAAAGTTAAGTTGAATTTAATAAATTTAAAGTTAAGTTGAATTTTTAAAGTTAAGTTAAGTTGAAGATAAAGTTAAGTTGAATTTAATAAATTTATATTATTTACTTAGTTTTATATTTATTAATTACATTTTTTCTTAATTACTTATCACATTTTTTTTTTACTTATTTTACTTGTTGTTGCATATTTTAAGGATGGCTTGAACCATTGCTAGATCGAATAGCGCAAAATTCCACAAATGTTGTAACACCTGTAATTGATACAATTAATTTGGAAACATTACAATATCATTTATCAAGTCATCATCGATTAAGTGTTGGTGGATTTAATTGGGGTCTTGTTTTTAATTGGCATTTATTGCCTGATCGTGATTATCATGCGATGAAATCACGGATTGATCCGATACCGTTAGTTATTCTCGATGTTTTTATAATTTTCTTGATATAACTACTAAATGATACTAAATTAATTAATTCTTTTTTTTTTTTTAAAAAAAAATGATACTATAATTTTTTCTTCATTGTAAAATTATTATCAGATCACCAACAATGGCTGGTGGATTGTTCTCGATTGATCGAGAATATTTTGAGAAACTTGGTGGTTACGATCCTGGTTTTGATATTTGGGGTAGTGAAAATCTTGAAATATCATTTAAAGTGAGAAAATTTTCCTTTTTTAGGATTTTTTTTTTCTTTATTACTAATCTCCAAATGGTTTGTTTTGTTGTTTTGAGTTTAAATTTACACTAAAATTTTCTATTTCTATGCTAATTAAAGCAATAATAGCTTAAAGTGCTCTAATTACTAAAGTAAATGATTACTTTATCCCAATTTAAAATGGATTTTGAAAACATTGAAATAATCTAAAAATATTTATACATTTTATTTTAGATATGGATGTGTGGAGGACGTTTAGAAGTTGTACCATGTAGTCATGTTGGTCATATTTTTCGTAAAAAATCACCTTACAAGTGGAGAAGAGGTGTTAATGTACTACAAAGGAATAATATACGATTAGCAGAGGTATTTTTTCAATTTGTTAAAGTTATAATTAAATTATTGTCTGGCACTTTAGATATTAGAATTTGTAATATAATTTGTAAATTTTTTTTTTTTTTTCATTGACTGATTTATTTAAATTTTTAAAAATTTTTATCTGGAATTTTACTGAATTTAACTGCAATCAACTATTTACCGTTTTTTTTTTTTTTTTTTTTTTTTTAAAATTACAATTGTAATTTAGTGATGATTATTGCAAGAAAAAAAAGATTAAAAATACCAAATTTTTACTATTATTTAAAAAAAATTCACAATCACATTAAATTTTTTAACTTTAAGGAATTATTTAAGGTATGGTTAGATGAATATAAAGAAATTTATTACAATCGAATCAATCATAAGCTGGTACTTTTTTTGCTGCTGTTGTTGTTGTTGTTTATTAGTAAAGTATAATAAAGTAAAGTATATTAACATACCTTGATCAAATGATCCTCTTATTTCTAAGTCTTTTTTTTTTTTTTTTTGAGAAGGAATAACTCTAAATTTCATATGGAAAGAAAGAAATAATCGAAATAATTTGCCAGTAATAATTACTTATTAATAACTTTTAAAATTACTACAATAAGCTTAAATGTTTTTCTGCATTTTAATTTCTCCTCTAATTAAATTTAATTAAATTTGTATACTTAGCAAAAAATGTAACAATGTTAATACTTTTACATAAAGCAATAAATGATAATAATTTTAAGATAGACTATGGTGATATATCAGAACGTAAAAAATTACGTGAACGTTTAAAGTGTCACTCATTTAAATGGTACTTGGATAATGTATTTCCAGATTTATTTCTACCATCAGAAGCAATTGCTAGTGGTGAAGTATGATTTTACTTATTTTACTTAATATTTTCACTCTTTTTCTTCTTCTTTTAACTTTATTATTTATCATAAATTACACTTCGATGATAAATGTTCGAAAGAAGAAAAAATTGTATTGTTGAAGTGCCACTGATTTTAATATTAATATTATATTTCTAGAATAAGCAATAAATTAGTAAAGTAGCATTGAAAATTGTAAGATTTTTCTTTTTTGGTAACATTGAACTTTATAAATGTGACAAATATATAAAAAAGTATATATTTTTATTAAAAAAAATTTTTTTTTCATTTAATTTTAAAATATAACTTTTAAGATTCGTAATCTTGGTAATCGAAAGTATTGCGTGGATCATGATGTTGGTCGAAATGTTGTAAATGATAGTGTTATACCATATCCATGTCATTTGCAAGGTGGTAATCAGGTATTTAATTTTTTTTTTTCTTTTTTAAAAATGGAAAATTATATATTTTATGAATAAATATTTATAAAAGGAAGGTATAATTAATGATTATTTTGCATATAACATTCGTTTTTAGCAAAAAATTTAATCCCGTAAACGATCATTTCTAATTAACTTATCATTGTATTTAATAATTTATTTATATATAATTCTTTTCGTATAATTTTTATTAATGATTAAAATTTTCAAATTATTTTTTGATCACTAATTATCATTTTAGTTTTGGATGTTAAGTAAAACAGGTGAAATACGACGGGATGAATTCTGCATTGATTATACGGGTCGTGGTTCACCGGTAACTTATGAATGTCATAATTCTAAAGGCAATCAACTTTGGGAATATAATCATGAGGTTTATCAATTTTCATTTTTTTTTTTTTTTTTGAATTTAAATTTTATATAAAAATTAATTTAAATATAATTTTAAAAAATGTCACTTTTTTTTTTGAAGTTTTGGCAGTTTGTTGAAATTATTAGGTTTTATTTGATACTTCGACTAATGTAAGCTATGCTAATAAATAATGTATAAATTTATCTCATTTAATAAATTTTATTTTTTTATTTTGTTTTTTTTAGACTGGTCGATTGTATCATCCAATATCACGTTATTGCTTAACATTAAGTGATGATGATAAGATGTTAGTGATGCGAGATTGTGATGATAAGAATGGACGACAACGATGGAGGTTTCAACATTTCAATGAAACATTAGCTGCACAAGCAGTTTAACATTGAGTTAAAAATTATATAAATTAAAATTTTTAAATTATCTAATATTTTACAAAAATTTAGGAAATTTTTGTAAGAAAACAATTAAGTATAAATTTGGAGAAATAAAAGTTTTTTCTTATTCATTTTCATTGCAAATTGTTGTAATTTTTGAGAATTTTTATGATTATTATTATCACTTAAATTAATAAACTATAAAATAATATATAATTTTTTTTTTTTTTTATTAATTCTATAAATATGTCATATAGAAATATATATATAAGTATCACTTATAGTGCATTAGTTTTCTAAATGTTTACTTGTTGTATAATTTAACATTCATTTCATTTTTCACACCTTTCTTTTTTGTTCTAAACACTGGCACAATTGTTTTTTCTTTTTTATTTTTTTTTTTTTTAAAAAAATAAAGAAAATTATAATATAATGGAAAAAGAAAGATGACAAAAGGTGACACTAAGTTGGATTAAATTATTATTATTATTATTTCTTATATGTTTCGTTGTATCTTTTTAAATTAATTAATAGTTTGTATGTATCATAAAAATATTATATAAATTTTGCTGTGCAAATTTGAAATGCTTAATGTAAATTTTGCTTAAAATTAATTGAAAATTTGATAAAACAATTTCTATTTTAATATATATTTTCCTTTTTTTATAAGTGTATTATTTTTTTTTTTTTTTGTCTTTTTTTTAGAATTTATTTTTTGATTTCAATCAAAATGTTAAAAGGAAATTTTTCATTACTTTTACATATCATTAATTTATGAAATTATGCTTTTTTTCTGAATTATTAATTGTCACACTGTCAAAAAAAAAAAAAAAAAAAAAACGACAAAGGTTTTTCAACCATTTTTTTCCTTTTTTTTTGAAGAATTTTCAACTAATTTTTTGTTTCTTCCATTAACAATAATTTGTTATAAAAGGATGAATGATAGAATTTTTTAACTCGCTCAGACACATAATTTTTTATAATTACTAAAGAATCGATGAATAAATTAATTTAATAAAATAAATAATTAATACCAAAAAGTATTTGTTATCAATATCTTTTTGCACAATGAAAATTAATTAGTGAGGTTAATTAATTAGTATATGTATTAGTATTCATTGTATACTTTTCTCATTTTTTTAAAATAATATTATCATTAAATTTGTGTCTTTCCTGCCATAATCTTTTTGTTTTTTTATTTAATTTAAAAATTGTTTTTTTCTTTTTTTGAATGGATTCATTTATATATTTTATTTCCTGTGAATTGATTTATTCCATTTAAAATGCTTTCTTCGATCTCTTTTGAATAATTTTTTTTTAGTGATTTTAAAAATATTGAAAGCAAATTTTTCCATTTAAATACTTTCGACTTATTTTCTTTTCTTTATTTAAAAAAAAAAAAGTTATAATGAAAATGGATGAGAAAAAAAACCCAAAGAAACTCACAGGAAGAAGAAGAATAGCATATGATAGCCTTATTGAATGAAAATGACATTCCAATCGTTTTTTATTTTTTATTTTTATTTTGTTTTGCTCAAAATGATATCATAAATAATTTGCCGATACGTTGCATTTTGTGTTACTGCAAAAATATTTTCAATTTGATAAGTTAACAAATGGAAGAAAAGTCTTTCAGAAAATGAAGAAAAACAAAAATGAAATTTTATAAAAACTTTTATCAAATCTAGCAAATTTTATCTTTCATTAAGACTGATAATTAAATTATTCTTCAATCATTTTTAATTTAAATGAAGCAATTTATCAAAATAGTGTAAATGCGAATACAAAAATTATTCATTAGTGATCGATTATCACTATCAACGTAATTATACTACTATGCATTGGTTGGAATATGATAAGCCTGATAACAGCTATCACTGCATAATTAACCTATCTACCTACCTATCTACCTATCTAGACAATCTACCTTGTCAAAAACACTATAAATAGCTCTTATTGCTCCTATTATTCATTAGATGGGGCGCTTTTGGTATCGATAGGTAGCGGTTAGGTAGTAATGGATTTCTTGCCTATGTTTGGAGCTGTCATTGTGCCTAATTAGTAAAATAGAAGTAATATTATGATCACATGTGTGAATGATAATTAAATTGATAAGTGATTAGGTAATTTGATGTACAATTAAAGTGATTTAAAAAGATAAACTATGACTCAAAGTTAATTAGATTCTCTATGGTAATAATTTTAGAATGAAATTGATAAAATTTTCGTATTGTTTATGTTGTTAAAGCATGTATAATATAAAATGAATATTTATTGATAGTTTTATCAGTGAGAAAGATAATTTATACTGTTACTTACTTTATCATAAATGATTTAAGCAAATTCTTTTTAATATCAAAGTGAAATATTTAGATTAGATTAGATTAGATTAGGATCATTGTTATTAGAAGATCATTTAAAATGAGTCAAATGATAGATCAGAATGTTTTGATAGATCAAGATCAAAATGGATAGTGTTTAGAGATAGAATTTCAGATATTAATTGCTGAAATTTTTTTAGTACGAAATTTTGACACTCATTTAGCAACAACAACAACGGAAAAATCACTGAAAAAAAAAATATGGTACTTACATTTTGGATTTTTGGAAGAACTACGGGGAGAGATGGGGAGGGGTTTATACCTTTTTTCTATGAAAGAATTACGAGGTTTTTTTCTGGATAAACTATGGATTTTTTACAAATTACTTTTTTTAAAGTTTTTTTTTTTTTGAAATTTTCAAATAATAATTTAAAAGTAATCTACAGCGTGAAGTAATCTCAGTTCATGTTGGACAAGCTGGTGTACAAATTGGTAATGCTGCGTGGGAATTATTTTGTTTGGAACATGGAATACAACCGGATGGAACAACATGCAAAATCCAGAATAAACAACATGCTGATAATTCATTTTCAACATTCTTCCTAGAAACCGGTACCGGACGACATGTACCACGAGCCATTTTAATTGATCTTGAACCATCTGTTATCGGTTGGTAATCACTGGATATTAACATATCTTTTAAAAATTTTAATGATTGATTTTTAAAATTTTAATTTTGTTAATTTTAAACTTAATTCATCTTAAATTACGCTATAAAAATTTTTCATTTAATTTTTTTCTTTTTTTTTTTTTTTTTTTTTGGATGAAATTCGAACAGGACCATATAAACGTTTATTTCATCCTGAACAAATGGTTACCGGTAAAGAAGATGCAGCAAATAATTATGCACGTGGACATTATACAGTTGGTAGAGAATTAATTGATGTTGTTCTGGATCGAATAAGACGACTTGCCGAAAATTGTACCGGTTTACAGGGTATATTTTTAATTTTAGATTAATTAATTTATTATAAAATAATTTTCATAAGTAAATAAATATATTATTTAATAGAAATTATAAATAAAAATTTAGAAAAAAAAAAATCTTTTTTTTCAGGTTTTCTTATATTTCATTCATTTGGTGGTGGTACAGGTTCCGGTTTTACATCATTATTAATGGAACGATTAACAACTGATTATGATAAAAAAAGTAAATTGGAATTTTCAATCTATCCAGCACCACAAGTATCTACAGCTGTTGTCGAACCATATAATTCAATTTTAACCACACATACAACTTTAGAGCATTCTGATTGCTCATTTATGGTTGATAATGAAGCAATTTATGATATCTGTCGTCGTAATTTAGATGTAGAACGACCATCATATCTCAATCTTAATCGTTTAATTTCACAGGTATTTTTGATAAATTTGAAAAATAAATAAGTATAATTTTATAGTGATTTTTTTTTCTTTTGAATTATTATCTTTATAAATAGTTAATTAATTAGAATAAAAATGAATTCATTTTTTTTTTCTTTTTTGAATAAAAAAGAACTCTAAAAAAAAAAAAAAAATTTAATATCATATTCACATACAGAAAGATTAATTTATTTAATTACATAAAACGTATTATTAAATTTTATTTTTTTTTTCCCTCATACTTAATGAATATTTATTAATTGTACTATTTGTCGAACAAAAAGAGAGAGAGAGAGAGAGAGAGAAAAAAAAAAAAGAAGTGAATAATAGTATTTTTAGGTTGTTTCATCAATTACAGCTTCATTACGTTTTGATGGTGCATTAAATGTAGATTTGACAGAATTTCAAACAAATTTAGTACCATATCCACGTATACATTTTCCATTAGCTACTTATGCTCCAATAATTTCTGCTGAAAAAGCTTATCATGAATCGTTATCTGTAATGGATATCACTAATTCATGCTTTGAACCAGCTAATCAAATGGTTAAAGTAAGTTATAAGTTAATTTTAATTAATTAAAAAAGAAAAAAAAAAGTATAACTTTTATGTTTGATAATGAATTACTAATTTTGTAGTGTGATCCACGTCTTGGAAAATACATGGCAGTTTGTCTTTTATATCGTGGTGATGTGACATCTAAAGATGTTAATGCAGCAATTAATAGTATTAAAACAAAACGTACAATACAATTTGTTGATTGGTGTCCAACAGGTTTCAAAGTAATTTTAATAAATAAAATTTTATTTTTACTCATTTATTTCAATAATTGTGTTTGTTTTTTTGTTTGTTTGTTCGTTTTTTATGAGATATAATAAATGTAAAGAATGATAATTTTAGATAGGTATCAATTATCAACCACCAACAGTTGTACCAGGCGGTGATGTCGCAAAAGCACCACGCGCTGTAAGTATGCTAGCTAATACAACAGCTATTGCAGAAGCTTGGGCTAGACTTGATTATAAGTTTGATTTAATGTATGCAAAACGTGCCTTTGTACATTGGTACGTTGGAGAGGGTATGGAAGAAGGCGAATTCACGGAAGCACGTGAAGATTTGGCTGCTTTGGAAAGAGATTATGATGAGGTCAAACATCATTTTATTTTTATAATTAGAAGAAATATAGAATGTAATTAATTTAGAGCACAAAAATAATACAATTATTTTTGTAATCTCTATGCAAATGACTAATTATAGTGTTTGTTAAATTAGCATCAATAATGCTTCATTAAGAATGATTCATGCTAAATTAATAAGCATAAGTTAATAATATTTTAGTTACTTTGGCCTTTTTTTTTTGTTAGTACTATAAAAACTTATGTTTATTTAATTTATAATGCTTATGTTTATTTAATTTATAATGATTTCCATATAATTTTGTTGTTTAAAAAAATTTCTCTCATTTGTCAATCATTTCATTTCTGTATATATATTACAGGTTGGTTTTGATAGTAATGATGATAATGATGGCGAAGATGCAATGTATTGAAATGCTTTAACAAATTGTTTGAAATGATTGATTAGTATGAATTGAATAATTTCTGTTTCAAATCGTTCAACAATTGATGTATTTTCTTGCAAATTTATTTGTTGTAATAGAATAAAAGTTTAAGTTTTAAACTACAGTACTGCATTTTTAAGGATAAGTATCAGACTAGAATTACTTAGAACTGTTATCATAATAATAATTCAAACTTGATGTTATCAAAAAATTGAAACTTGATGATATGAAATAATTTCAAAATTTAAGAGTAAAATTTTATGCAAGAATAAAGTTATCAAGATAATTTTGCTAACCACATCGTATATTATTAATTGTTAAATTTATGTATTATTAAAATTTTGAAGCTTTTGCAATGTATTCATTAAATTATAACAGTTTTAAAATTGGCGCAAATAAAAAGACTGTCCTACGCCATTAAATCTAAGTACCATTTATAAGTTATTTGATCACAATCTAATTTGAATTATTTATCAATTTAGTTAAGCAAATTATCATTTAAGCCATGATGGTTCAGATTTGGTGCAAATTTTTGAAATATTTAGCATACTAATTAACAAATTATGAAGTGCGTCATCACAAGGTAAACATGCGTCCTTCTTAAACTTTTACCGCACATTGATTATTGCGCACATCAGAACAGGACAATATCATGATTAAGACACCTTCCCACGATTAGGACAAATTCAATATCTATTATGATTAATATTAATCATGATTAAGATACTTTCTCATGAATACGACAAATTCAGTACTTATTATGATTAATACTTATCGTGATTATGACACTTTCACCACGATTGCGATAAATTCATATCTATTATGATTAATATTTATCACGATTAAGACACGATTAATTCACGATTAAATCAAATTCATTAGTTATTATAATTAAGATAATATTTTTTATGGCCAAGTAGGAATTTTGGCGAATTTATTTATTGATCTAAGTGATTTAATTTATCATTTCTTTAACTCTAATTGATGTATGCGACATGAGACATATAATAGCAAAAATGAAATTACGTTTTAATTATTTAAAAGTAAAAAATCATAAAAGTGTTAAATAGAATTTTTTTTTTCTGCTCTAATTTGTTGATTTTTCTTGATGAATGTTTAAAAAAAAAAAAGAAAAGAAGCATTTGGAATTGGTAAGCACATACATCTTTGACATTAAATAATTTAATTAATTAAAAATTATCAATGAAAGAAATATTAACATAATACAATATACGTTGATGGATAATAATTTAACATGAGAAATAATTAAATGAATTCATTAATAGTTTTGCTTTCAATTTTATTTTCTGTATTATTTTTTCAAGAGAAGAAAATGATTTGAAAATTACTGAACAACAATTGTTTGTTCAATATTTATCATGATTAAAGATACTTTTTGTAATACTTAATTCAATTAGCATAAGGAACAGAAGCAGCAATGATAAATACAACATTAAAATTCTCTTAATAGATAAGTAGATGAAATCAGTTTGTTTCAAGAAGACATCATTATCAGTACGAATTTAATATCAAGGCGTTATCAGTATGAATTTAATATCAAAACATTATCAACAAGAATTTAATATCAAAACATTTTCAACACGAATTTAATATCAAAACATTATCTGTATGAATTTAATATCAAAATTCACTTGGTAGATAAATAAATGAAATCAGTTTGTTTCAGGAAGATATCATTATCAGTACAAATTTCGTTCACCGGTATCTGAATTGATATTCCATCATAGAAGCTTTTAGATTGTATTAAATTCATAAATGTATTTTGACTTTTACATACTGAAAAACTATTGAATTCATTAATCGAATTATAGTATTCCGGAGAGAAGCATTCTATCTTATCAGACAAATTTTGACAAAAACGTTGTTTAACAATTGATGATTTTGATTTTTTAATTTGATCATAAGTTGGAGTTATTTTTGAATATAAAAATAGTATCAATATGATAAGTATGGTAAAGATAATTAATATTGGACAAAGAATGATAAGCGTTCGTTTTGCATCTTCCAATGTTATCTCTACAGTATCCTGAAATTCATTTTTTTTTTTTTAAATATATTACTTATAGTTTTTTTAAGTCTATTTTATTTTTTGACGGCTTTTTTTTTCGTTTATACACTTTTAAAAAAGCAGTGAAACTTTTTTTAATTTAGAAACATTTAAAGTATTAAATCAGTTTATGCTAAATCAGCCAATGATTTGAAAAAACAAAAAAAAAATTTTCATTTTTCAGTTTTTTCGTGAAAAAAAAATTACCAGCGATGAAATACTAATATTGTACAGTTCATCCGGCGTGGCGCAAATAACATTATGAATGGATCGTAGGCGTAAAATATCCGGTAAGAATGCTAATAATTTATGATCACAATGAATTGGATTACCATTTAGCTGTAATTCAGCCACCCTGAAATATTATCAAATTCTTAAGTATTATTTTTTCAGAAAGCAGTAAAATTTAATCGCTAACTTATAACTCATGACAATTGCGCCATGAAATAAATCAATTTATGTTTGTTTTTTTTTTTCGAAATATATATGTTTACTTTGTTTATTTCTATTTACATTTATGTTAATATCAAATAAACAAACAGTAAGTTACTCAATAGATTACTTACCTTTTCCAATCAAGTAAATTGGATGGGAAAGTTTTTAAAGCACAGAAGCTAACATCAAAGGTGTGTAAAGCATTGCTTACTTCAAAAGCATTTTCATCAATGCATTCTAAGAGATAGCTATAACTTAGATTTAGCATTTCCAATGATGCTAATCCAGAAAATGCACCATTCTAAAATGAATTTATTTATGATTTTTAAAATTTAATTTCCATTCTTCCTTTTTTTTTTTTTTTTTTTTGATAATATAGCTAATTCCTTCTTCGAAAAAAAAAAAACGAAAGACAAAAAAAGTTTTTTTCACATTTCAGATATTATCAATTTTGTTTATATTTGTGGATTTTCTCTTTTTTTTTTTTTTTTTTTTTTTTGAAAATGACCTGAATTTGTTTTAGATATCGTTGTTCGCTTAATTTGAGTTTTTTTAATCGAAATAATCCATCAAATGCTGATGCAGGTAAGAGAGAAAATTCATTTCTTGTTAAATCCAATTCCAGTATGGATGAAAGTTGTCGGAAATTATATGGTTCAATTTTTTTAAGCTAAATTGATATAAAAATTAGAAAATAAATTTAGTTATGAAATTGATGAATGAATACCAAAAATTGCTAAATAATATCAAAATAATAAAAATTTAAAAAAATTTTCTGTTATATATACATATATTTTTTTTTTTTTACCTTATTAAAACCAATGTTTAAATATTCCAGGTTTATAAGATTATTTTGACCAAAAATTGGAATTTCTTGTAAGAAATTTTCTGATAAATCAATTAAGCTTATCATATTTAATCCAAGAAATGTATCAGATGCAACCTGAAATTAGCCAATTTTGTTTTGTTAACAAATTGTCATTTGCAATAGTAAACCATTGAATTATCATTCATACGAAATCTTTCACTAATTAGCTAATTAGCCATGAAAAATGAAAAATGCTAATTTATTTATTATTAATCATTTTCCATCTGTTGTGCTGTTATCATTGCTGCATTCATAATTCTTCATATCATATCTATTGATGGTTATCAAATGATAACACCTTGAATAATTATCATATGAAAGGTATTAAGAGATCAGTTGGAAAATAATTATGTAAAATGAGCTGATAAAATATTCAGATCAAATATATTTCAGGCAGATCACTTCATTTCTTAATGAAATTTAAGGATTTGTCTTAATAATTTTATATAATAAACAAATATTACATAAAATATAAATTAAATTAATTTAACTGTTTTTTTTTTTTATAATTTAAATTTTTGTCTTACACTAAGATATTTCAAATATTCATTATGTAGAAGTTTTTTTACTTTTTTTTTTTTCAAATCTGTTGAAAGTAAACGAATTAATACAAACAATATGAAATTTGAAAATTGTATAAAATATTTTTTTTTTTTTTTAATATTAAATATAAAAATACAAATATTATATAAAATATAATTCTTTTTTTTTTTTTTCAAAAAAATACTTATAATTTAGAAATGTAATTTATGAAATAACAAAATTATGGTAAATTCATACCGTTTTAATCATATTTTGGCTCAAATCAATAGCTCTTAAATTAGGCAATGTTTTGAATATGAAATCTTCCAGATAAATAATTTGATTTCCGGCAACTGATAATTTTTGTAGCTTTGTTAGATCAGTAAATTTTAGAAATGATAAATTTTGAAGTGCATTGTACGATAGGTTAAGTTCCAGCAATTCTGTTAAATGTTCGAAAGCATTTGACTCAATTGTTTGCAATTTACCGAAAGACAAATCAAGATACTGAAATTGTTGATAGAATGAAGAATTTAAAACTTTTCGAGTAATAAAAATATTTAATCTATTTAAGTGGTTAGTTTAAAAATGTGAAAATTTAGCCAAAAAAAAAAAAAAAAAGTTAAATAAGAAAATAAGTCGATTAGTGTGATTAAATATGATGAAAAATAATTGTTACAGAAAATGAAATGTTTTTTTTTTTTAAATTGTTGATAAATTTTCTAAAACTTTACCTGTAGTCGATGTAAACCACGGAAATTATTAGGGAATATAATCGAAAAATTATTATTGCTCAAATTTAAAAGTTCCATTTTGTTTTGATATCGAAAAATGTTTTTTTCAAACGTAGAAATATTATTATCAGACAAATCCAAATGTATGATATCTGTAAAATGAGCTAGATTCTAAAACCCGGAAAAACTGAAATATCAAAAGGAAATGTTAGTAGATGGAATGATTAATCAGATCAAAACATATGGGTTATAAAGTTTCGATTATTGCTATTTAAATTATTCAAACAATATTAGCTTAACTAATTCAACTACATATAGCTTTTTTTTTTTCTGAATTAACAAATTAATAATAAGACAAACCTGGATATAATTCCATAATGTCGGGATCAACCTGTTCGATGTGACATTTTGATAATTTCAAAGTTTGAATGCCAGGATTTAACAAAGGTGGAAGATATGGTAATTTAATATTATTGCAATTTACAGATAACTGGTACTCATCACAAGTGCAATTCGGTGGACAAAGACCCAAAATTGAACTTACTGATAATAACAATAAAGTAATTAGGAGTAGAGTGATAATCATTTAGCTTGTTTCATTAGATCAATCAATTTTCCGGAATTTCATATCCAATTTGTGAATCAATTTTTCTTGCATGTGAACAAATTGAGATTCATCAGAAGATGCAATTTAAGAGCAAAATCTAAATAAATTATGAATTTGACCACATTTTAAAATTATTAAATGAAAGTATAATACAAACTTTTAAAAATAAACTATAGCTTATGAAAAATTACTTATTGATATTTGAGAATATTAAAAAAAATTTTTTTTTGAAACATTCCGAAAAAAGAACTAAATTATCTTAAAGTTATAATTTTCAAAAAATTGTTTTAAAAAAAAAAATACCTAATAGTTGTTGTTTATTTTGAAATTTTAATGAAGCTAATAACATGAAGAAATGATACTTTTATTATCACATAAAATTTTCTCAATCAAAAAAGAAAAAAAAAACTAAACAAAACGAATTTAGCCATTTTGTTCCATTCATTCATTCTTTTTGATACAAATTAAACTTGGCCAATATGATGATATAGAAGCCTTAACTAATCTAGTTATTTGCTATGAAAATGTGATATTGAATTTAGATAAGGATGACTCATAAGTATTATCTTCAATTCAAAAATGCATCATTAGTCAAAAAATTCAATGGGATTAGTTAGCACAGACTAAAGCTTAAAAAATTTATGTTAAGAAAAAAAAAAAAATTTTTTTTTTCTCTTAAATTTTATGAAAAATAAGGATTTCATATTAAGTATAGATTGATGAAAAAATTTTGATAAATAAAAATGAATCAAATAGAAAATTTTTGTTCTAAATTGAAAGATAATTTTTTATTTGTTTATTTATTTATTTTATTTTATTTTATTTTTTTTTTTTTTGTTTGAAATGTTTGGTGCCACAAAATGATAATATCAGAAGTGGATAGATGGAAAGATGAAAGTAATGACCTTTGAAAAGAAGTGAAGTTGAAAATTTGTAGAGAAATGAAATGACAAAAAGGGGAACAAAGAAAGGAAGAAAAGGATTATTGGCTCGATAAGTGAAAAGGAGGTAATAACAATCAAAAAAGGCGAAAAAGGTCGTAGTGGACAGTGGACAGTGGACAGTGGGCAGTTATCGTGATGCCTCATCTGCCTCTTTCCTTTTCTACGTCTTTCTTTTATGGCTAAATAATTCGACTATGGTTCAAAGGTCATTCTTATGGCTGAAACATAAATAGCATGCATGGACAGATGGACAATCATTTATTAGGGAATGCAACAAAGCAAATCGGAATGCACATGATTACTAATCGATTTAAATATTTAAAATTATCATTGAAAGTTTTACAATTCAAAGTTATCAAATATGAAAGTACTTGAGATTTCTTATGTTGTGCCTAAAATATTCAAATATTAGATTAAATTGACAATGTTTTTATTTCAAATTTAAATTATCAATGAAATAAAATTAACAACAACAAAGAAAAAAAACATGATTAGAGGTGTTAAAATGTATTTGTAAATTGTAATTTTATCTTCAGCAATCTGCTCAACTGATTCGATTATATATATATTCAAAATTAATAAATAGAAAATATCATTTATCAAAATTTTTGCAATGTTGCAATTTAGCATTGTTAATCAGAATTGACTGTTCAGGAAATAAATTCGAGATTTGACTGATCGATTTTGGTATTGATGTTGCTTGAACAATTAGAAAGCAATGTTAATTGTAGGACAATAATTTTTTTGACTTTATTAAAAAAAAAAAAGGAAGGCGGAAAGGAGACAAGGTTATGATTATGATTTGTATAATTACTTTGGCCAGGATGGACAAGCTGACATTTGTCCAATAACCATTAATTAACAATTAATGCATAATAAATTTGCATTTTCTTAGCATTTCAAGAATTGACTATTTTTTATGATTTTGTATGTTTTATAATTTTTCAAAATTATTATTTATTGCTAAAAGATTTAAATTTAAATTGAAAATAGCCACAATATTTCATATTTGACCATTGCTATAGATTCTTACAGAAGAAAAAAGAAAAAAGAGGGAATAATTGAAATTTTGAAATTATAATAGTTTAAACAATTAGAAATGCAAAAATTTAAGGCAAGTAAAAAATAAAATATAAAAATAATCTTTTTTTTTTTTTTTTAAAGTGAAGTTTTAAAAAAAAAAAAAAACAAAAATCAGCCAAATAAATATAAAGAAAAGAATGAAATAAATTTCAAAAATATTATTAAACAAAATATGGTAGATTTTTTTTTTTATAGAATTCTAAAATCTCAAAAGAAAAAAGGAAAAATTTTTAACTAAAAAAAAAAAAAAAAACGATGAAACTCAGTTCATAATTTCTTTTTTTTTCTGAATAATAAACAAACAAATAAAATAAATCTTAAAAATATTTTCAAAAAAAAAAACACGAAAAATCTTTTAAAATAAATTTTCATATAAATATTATTCATTTTTATTAATAATTCATTTAATATCATTTAAAATATTAAATTTAACAAAATATCATTAATCTAAAAAATTTCAGTGCTTTTTTTTTTCTTTTATATTTTCAAATAAAATATTTTGCATTTTGTTTTTTTTTATCATTTAATTATATAAATATCACTGTCGCATTTAACAATGAAATTGTTTAATGGATGGGAAAAAAAAAAAAAAAAAAAAAAATTATGCGTGGAATGCAAGCCAAACTCTCGATAATCATTTAAGTAAACGAATTGTGTAGCCTAACACTTCCCGGTACATTGATCATTTTACTTTGTTCAGTGCTTGGTGCTATTTAGTATTATTACCTATGGTCAACACAAATTTTCATACTTAATAGTTTCAATGAATTTTGCAGTAAACAAATTTCAATACCTTTTCATTTCATTTTCATTCCTTTTCTCAACTGACAATGTTGCATTTTACAATTAATCAATTATTCATTTATTATTCATATTTCAATGAAAATAGAAATTAATTTTATTTTTCAAATTTTTAAGATTTTATTTTTTAATTTTTAAGATTTTAAGATGAAAAAAACAAAAAATACTTGTTGAAATTTTATTGCTAATTGAGAATTTATAGTTTCAAATGCATAATTTGTGAATAATTCAAAAAAAAAAGTAATGATAAATTTTAGCTTTTTTAACAATATTAATATTATTTTGAAAAAAAAAAAATTTCAACAATTTTCAATTGCATTCAAACTTTTCTTTTTTTTTTTTTAATTTGCTTCTATTTATTATTATTATTAATAATAGATGTTTCTATTTTTATTATCATAAATAAAACTAAAATGTTAAATTCTAAAAAAGGAAAAAGAATTTTATTCAAAAAATTTAGGTTATTGTGTTGTTAACCTGAATTTTTTTTTTTTTTTTTGTGATAATATTAGCAAACTGTAACAGATTATTGCTAAATTATTTTAGAAGCTAATTAATCTCAATTTATGAAGATAATTAATTTTAAAGTATATTTTAGTTCTCTCTTAAATAGATGTAACTTTAAATTTTAAAGCACTTATATTTGTTGTCTTTCATCAATTTATCAATTTCAAATAAGGTCAATGTCAATTTTGTAATCAATTTTCTCTCTTCATATTGGTAATTCACATCCTGCATGAAAGAAATCAATCTTTCAACTTAACATTTAATTAATATATTAAAGAGTTTCGTTCATAATCTTTTGCTTTCTAAAAATTATAATTAATCATTTAATCAAAAAAAAAAAAATATTGGTATATGGTAAAATAATAATGAAATATATAAAAATGGAATAAATTTTTGATAATTAAATCCATTTTGTCGACTTTTTTTTTTTTCATTTGAAATTTCCTTTTCATTTAATTAATTAATTTTTCTCATTGATTTTATTTGTGAATTGTGAATGATCAATTATAAATTACAGAATTGGAAGAAAAAAAAAAGAGAGAGAGAGGGAGACGAAAAGCAAAGAAAATATCAAAATTTATTAGTTCAATGCTTTTTGGGTTTTTTTTTTTTTTTTTTTTTGTACAATGCATTTCAATTTTGTACAAAAATATATTTCTCAATTCTTCGAGTATTATATTCTACTAATTATTCATCATCCATGGTTCTTTATTTCAATTCCAATACTGCTAACAGTTACACTGAGTATTGGCTTACAGTACCAACAGAATGCTTTTGTTAAAGATGAACTTAGTCAGTATATTCCGATTAATGCACAAGCCGGAAATGAATTACAACAACTTGATGAGTTATTTCATATTGATGATTATGATCCATTCTATGCTACAAGAAGGTTCGTTATTCATTCATTTATATTTTTTCTAAATTATTTATCTTAATTCTAACTATCATTCATTTCATTTATATTTTTTTCTAAATTATTTATCTTAATTCTAACTATCATTCATTTCATTTATATTTTTTCTAAATTATTTATTTTAATTCTAACTATCATTCATTTCATTTATATTTTTTCTAAATTATTTATTTTAATTCTAACTATCATTCATTTCATTTATATTTTTTCTAAATTATTTATTTTAATTCTAACTATCATTCATTTCATTTATATTTTTTCTAAATTATTTATTTTAATTCTAACTATCATTCATTTCATTTATATTTTTTCTAAATTATTTATCTTAATTCATTCATTCATTCGTTCATTCATTCATTTATTCCATTCATTTCATTCAATTAATTCACTCATTCATTCATTCATTTAATTCAATTCAGTTTAATTCATTTCATTTCAATTCAATTCATTTCAATTCATTCATTCATTTCAGATATGATATCAAACGAACTGGATATATTATCGTACGAAGTATTGTAAATGATGAAGATGTACTGAAGCCAACTATTTTAGATGCAGTATTAAAATTATGGAATGTAATACAGAGTATTCGAGTTGAAGGACCAAATGATACGACTTTTGATTATCCATCAATTTGTGTAAAATTTCCAATTTCACCTGAATTTGATGAAATTATTGCAAATATTTTAATGCATAAATCATCCAGGTAACAAATTTTAATAAAACTTTCCATTCCATTAAAAAAAAATAAGTAAAATTTTTATTACTTTCAATTTGATTGTTTTCATTTTGAAATTTATTTGTCCGAACTGATTACTTAAAAGATCTAACTTTTTTTTTTTCTTTTTTTTTTTTTGATTTTAAAAAATTTTATTAAGTGAAAGCAAATTTTTTATGATTCTTTTATTTTTTTGCTTATAATTGCTTTTGCAAATTTTTTTATGTTATTTAAAAATAGCATTCCTACTTGGAAAATTTCATTGATTGCTTATCATGCAGTAATTTATTATTATTTTTTTTCCTATTATTCTCTATTTTAACTATAAATTTTTTAAAGATTTAAGAAACATTTTTTTTTTTTTTTTGAAAAATTTTTAGACTACAAGAAGAATGCGTGTCAAATCCATTAATAACTGCATTCAAAATGTTTTTAAATGGTGATTTAAATCCAAAAAATGACACTATCGATCAGAGAGTTTTGAAATTAGTGGCAGATTCAATCTCATTGGACTTATTAACTAGTATTTGCAACTTTTTGGGTGGTATTACATTTGACGAGAAGCATCGAATTTCTGGTCCTACAAAGCCATTATGCTTATCAAACTTTTTACCACTTTCTTTCATTTTTGTTTCTAATCGTTTAACTTTCATTAAAACTTTTGAATTTATTACATTTTAAAATTTTGGCTTATTTCAATTAATAATTTAAATATGAGAGTTGGCATTTTATCACTGAAAATAAAACATAACTTTTCTCCAAATATTTTTATTTGTTGAATTGAATATTTACAATATTTCAGAAGTGAAATAAAAAGCACAATATGCAAATAAGATAAAAAATGAAATATTTTTTATTAAATTAAAAGTAAAAACAAAATGCAATTTGAAAAGAAAGATTTACAGGTGCAAAAGCAATTATGTTACCTTATGCATTGCGACATTCAACAGTCTTCCAGGATAATTTAGCTGAAAAATGGGAGCTAAAATTAGCTGATTTCTTATTGCAATATGCTTCAAATATTATCAAAACTTCCTTATGGACTTATGAAACGATAGCTATTGAAAGCGCTAATGGTCGTGAGCAATTAATTAAGTAAGTAATACTTATTAGTAATACTTATGCTAAAATTAAAAACAAAAATTCATTGTATTTACTTCTACTAAAATTATTAATTTTAAATGAAAAATTCTTCTTTCAAGCTAAAAGTTTAAATAAAAATAACAATTTTTTTTTAATAAAATTACATCATAACTAATTTTAGTAATTACTAACTTATATTAATTTATATTATTTGTAACTAACTTATATTAATGCTATATTATAGAAATTAAAATAAATTAGCATAGCTAATAATTATTTTCAGAATGTTACTTCCAAGTTTCCTAACATTATTACTGTATACAATTTTATGTTGCTGTCTACCATCTTGGATTTATTCTCGACCATGGTTAGCTGCTGGCGGTGTTGTCAGTGTAGCAGGTGCTATTATTAGCGCTATCGGTTTATTACTACTATTGGATTATCATATTACAAGTGTTGCATATTTAATGCCATTTGTTATATTCTGTAAGTTTTACTACTGTATTTTTTAAATTCTACTTTTAGAATAAAATTATAAATTTAAAATAAATTCTATTTATCAATAATCAAATCATATATTCTATTCCTTCATTACTTAGCTAATTTGCAAAAATATATAGTCTAAATGCTCTTTGCCAATCTATACTTAGTAAAACGCTTATTCCACTGTTCAGATTTTGTTCTATAAAACTTTTCGGTATGCCATAAAAATTTTCAAAAACTCTGACGTACTCAAGCATTGGTATAGTTGTTCAATATTCTTCTGCTGGTGTTTGATATTTTAATGCTAATAAAAAAAAATCTATGTTTATTTTATTTTATTTTAATAAATATATTTTCAAAAAAAAAAAAATTCACTGTTTTAATTTATAGCAGTTGGAGTTGATAATGTATTTATCACCTTATCAGCGTGGCGTTCAACTTCACTTACTGATTCATTTGAGTTACGTATGAAAAAAGCATTCACAGATGCATCACTATCAATTACAATAACATCGCTTACTGATTTTATTTCTTTTATTGTTGGTTGCTTTGCACCATTTAAATCTGTTCAAGTAAGCATACATTTTTATTAAATTTTTATAAAAAATAAAATTTTTAAAAAAATTTTTTTTATATACATTTAAAAATTTTACTTTATATATATTAATTTTATTTCATAGTTAAAAAAATAAAATTTAAACAAAATTTGCTTTATATAGAAGTAATTAGATGAATTTCATATCTAAACGATAACAATGAAATTGACATTTTATATTATTGTTATTCATATGTGATCATTTCTCATTTGATTTCTATCAATTTATATTTTTATAAAAAATTAAATGAAAGTGTAAATATGAGAGAAAATAAATGTCATAAAAGTAATTTATGTTTGTACAAAATTTAATGTAAATGAAAAACTTAAATAAACATTTATAGTATTTAAATTAGAATTCTCGCAAAAAGAATTATTTTGATTACCTAATTCATTAATCTAATCGTGAAGAAAGAATTTGAAGTGCGTTTAAATTTATTTTTTGTTTCTTTTTAGTCATTTTGTTTGTATGCTGCAACGGCTATTTCATTCACATATATTTATCAGTTAACTTTTTTCTCGGGTAAGTTGCATAAGTTTTCCATTTTTTTTTTAAAAGTAAGTAAAGTAGGACAAATGACAAAAAAAAAAAAAAAAAAAAAGAGAAAGAAAACACTGCTTCTAATTCGGGAATCAGAAAGGATGACACTTCGGGAATCAGAAAGGATTGACACTTTGAGTAATAGTTTAAGTTAAATCAATAATGACAATTTATTTCTTGATTGTCAACCATATAGATATGATAGACTTTTCAGCTATATTAGTTTTAACAAGTAAGCGTGAAATTGCTAAACAACATTGCTTAACATTTCAAAAAATGATAACGTCAAGAAAACGGAAATATTCCGGATCACATTTTCAAGGTTTGTTTGAAATTGCTCATAAGATCAAATTTATCAATAAGATTGAATATATTCCTTACATAATTTTTTTTTTTGCTATCATGCTTTTTATAAGCAAAAAAAAAAAGATTGAGGAAATAAAATTGATTATTAATTGATCTCATTTTTTGTTAAAATAATTTCTTTTATTTATATTTTTTCAAAAAAAAAAAAAAACATAAATTTCTTTCATTTTTAAATCAAATATTCGAAATTAAAATTAGCATATAAATTTTGAATTTTAGTATTAAATAATATACGAATTGTAATCAAACAATGGAATAATGTTGTAAGCGAAAATAATTAAAAATGAAATATAGAAAATAAAATTTGAAAGTAACAAACGAAAAAAAAAAAAAAAAAAACCAAAACAAATTTATTTATTCTATTCTGTATAACAAAGAAGTTTAAAAAAAAAAAAGTTAAAAAGATGAAATTTCAATTTTTAGTTGTACCATATAAAAGTCACACAATTTATTTGTCAACAATTAAAGAGGAAAAGAAAACAATAACTTATCGAAATAATCATTTAATTGCAAACTTTTTCCGTACAACTTATTCCGATTGGCTATTGAAACCGTTTGTACGATTAATTGTACTTCTACTTTTCATCCTTTATCTTGTAAGTTATATAAATGAACTTTAAAATATTTCATCTCTTCAAATATTAATCCTTCTTTTTAATTACATCTATTTAAAAATTTTATCACATCAATTAGTATTTAAGAAATTTTCGTTAAAAATTAAAATTTTTGATTTAATTTTTCACTACAGATAGTATCAATTTGGGGTTGTTTACATGTAAAAATAGGCCTTGAACCAAATAAATTACTTTCAATCGATTCATATGGTCATGAAGGTTTATCTGTTATGGAAAAATACTTTTCTGGTCAGTTTTATTTTATTTACAAAATGAACAAATTACAAATGCGATGTGTAAATTAATTAAAAAATGTTAATTAAAAAGTTTACTGATCCCATCTATTTGCTAAATTTTTCATAGTAAACCATTTTATTTTTTTTTTTTTTTTACTTTAAAAAAATAATTTTTTAAATTTATTCATTCATTTTTAGTACTTTTTTGAGATATTTCATTTGCCATTATCATTAATCACTTATGATATTAAATAAATTTAAAAAAAGAAAAAAGTATCTTGATTAATTATCACGAAATTAAATTTTTTTTCTCCAAAAATAATTTTTCTCGTCTATTTGAGAATTTTGTTTAAATTTAACTTACAATTACAATTCTTTCAGCTACTATGATTTCTCGGACTTAGCTCAACTAGCTTAATTAGTAAAATTAAGCTAATCTATGCTTAAAATTGTTTACTCTTAGATTTAGCTATCTTTCATTTTCATCTTAGCATTGTTAAATTAAAAATTTTAAAAAATGAATTAAATGCATCTGCTGATGAAATCTTATTAGATTATGGATCATATCTACATGTATGGATGTATAATTTGTCACAGATCAATTTTTCAAATCGTCAAATCTGGACGGTATTAGAAGATGAAATAGCATTGTATGAATATACCGAATATACTGGACTTAGTGATTCATGGTTATTAATTAATTTTAGAATATATCTATTCCATAATTGTTTTAAAAATTTTCCTTTCATATTTATAATTGTTAGATTTTTTTTTTTTTTTGCTTTTTTATTCAATTCTAAAATTATTCTTATAAGTTCTAATTTTCTTTTCGGATATAGCTAAAAAAAAAAAAAATATTTCTCTTATATGATAAATCTACCAACTTATTTATTCATTTAATTCAAATCTTTTAGTAATCAAATATTTTAAATGTAAATTATCATTAAAAAAAAAAAAAAAAACTATTATCTTTACATATGCAATTTTATCAATGATCTTAAAAATTTTTTGCATTTCTAACAAATTTAATTTTTTAATTTCTATTATGATAAAAGTGATAATTGTTGAGAATAACTACAAAAAAAAAAAAAAAAAAAAAAAAGAACTTATAAGATTGTTTGATAATTTCAAAAAAAAAAACTGATGCAATTTTAGGTTACGAACAATGATACAATACTTTGAAAAAAATAATATTGCAATAACATCCGATAATTTTGTATATATTTTAAAAAATATTTTTCTTTCTCAACCACAATTTGCTCGTTACAAACGGTATACTTAACTATTTATTTATTTACTTTTTTTTTTTTTTTTTTGAAACTCTACGAAGTATTAATTAGATTCTAATAGTGTAGATCTGTTGTCTTAGATTTAAAATTTCAATTTATTCTATTGAATGTTTCATTTCAGTGATATTTTATTTGATTCTACGGGTAATTTACTTGACGTTTCACGTGTTCTCGTTCAATTACGTTACGTTGGAGCAAGTAATCAATCTCGTGCTATGCGAATTTTAAGAAATATTGCAAAATCACGTACCATTAAGACTGGAGTATATGCTGATTTCTTTCAGGTTATCATATACAAATTCTTTTTTTTTTTTTTTTTTTTTTAACAACAATGATTTAATTTTAGAATTTATAAATTTTTGAATCTATACAAATTATCATTAATTTTTTAGTTTGCGGAACAATATGATGCAATGCTTCCGGGTACGTTATCAACAATAGCAATTGCTAGTTTTGCTGTTATCATTGTTTCATTATTATTAATACCAAAAAAAGTGACAACATTTTGGGTATCATTAAGTATCATTACGGTAAATGTGGGTATTCTTGGTTTTATGACATTTTGGAATGTTCGACTTGATTTTATCTCTATGATAACAATTGTTATGAGTGTTGGCTTTTGCATTGATTTTGCTTCACATTTGGCATTTAATTTTGCTAAGGTTTGTCAAATTTTCTAATCTTTTTTTTTTTTTTTTTTTTTGCATTTTATTTAAACTTAATGAAGAAATTTTACATTCAATTAACAATCATATTTTAAATTTTACATTTAATTAATAATCATATTTTAAATTTTACATTTAATTAATAATCATATTTTAAATTTTACATTCAATTAACAATCATATTTTAAATTTTACATTCAATTAACAATCATATTTTAAATTTTACATTTAATTAATAATCATATTTTAAATTTTACATTTAATTAATAATCATATTTTAAATTTTACATTTAATTAATAATCATATTTTAAATTTTACATTTAATTAACAATCATATTTTAAATTTTACATTTAATTAATAATCATATTTTAAATTTTACATTCAATTAACAATCATATTTTAAATGTTATTTTTAGCCTAATGAATGATAATGTTTGATTTGAAATAGTATTAGGATTAATTTCTTTTTTCCTTTTCCTTTTCCTTTTTTTTTTTTTTTTTTGAGATACAATAAAATGATGCTTGTTAAAATAGTAATTTAATGAATGAAAAATTAAAATTAAGAATTGCTATTCATTGTAAGCAATATTCCTTTCATTCACTCCTAATCATCAATATTACATAATTTATCAAAATGATAATTTTGAAATTATTTGATAATTTCAAAAAAAAAATTGAATTCTTTTTAGGATGAAGGAATAAGCACTTCTGAGCGAATGCGTAATGCTTTATATAATGTTGGTGTTCCAATAATACAATCAGCCAGTAGCACAATTATTGGTAAGTATTAAAATTTTTTGAAAATATTCTGAATACAACAGAATAATGAGCAAAAAAAAAAAAAAAATGTTGTAAATGATAAAATAAAATGATAATATTTGAACATTTTATAGCTGTCATTTAATTTATAATATTCTCATTTATAGGAATTTCATTTCTAGCATCTATTGATAGCTATATATTTCGTTCATTCTTAAAAATGATTATCTTAGTGATAACACTTGGTGCACTACATGGTTTACTAATACTTCCTATCTTACTTACATTATTCAATTGTGATAACAAAACTACGTATGTTGTTTTGTACTTTTCAAATTTTACCTAAAATTGTTGCTTTTTTCATTCATTTTTGGATAGTTTGTTTTTCCTCTTTCAAATGACAATTAAATAGCTATGAAAAATAGGCGTAAGATGATCATTTAGTATCCCCTCAAATAATAATAATAGTAATAATTTATAAAATTCTCATATCAAAAAGACTCTCTTGAATAGACTCTCTTTTAAAAATTATACTTAAAGTTAAAAGCGGATGGAATTAATATAAGTGCTAAAGAAATAAATAATCTGGAAAATAATCCTGAATCTCTAGATATTACTGCCAAAAAAATTATTGAGTACTTGAAATATGGAAAAAGAAAACGATTAAAAAAAAAAAGGAAATTAGGAATTACAGTTAAATGTTTTACAGTTATGCTACGTCACGAAAGGATAAATTAAATGTAAGAACGATGAAAAAAGTATCAAAATTAACATTAACCTCCTCTTTTTCTGCATGGTATGATTCGTCTACTATAACTGCAATAGATACTACTCCTAAATACATTCATACTTGTAGAAATCCAGTAAGTTCTTTTTTATTTTTTTTTTTTTTACATTTGTAATATAAAAAGTTATAAGTTATAAATTTTACTTCAAATCTCCAAAGTAATTCTGAATTTAAAAGAAAAAAAAAAAAAAAAAAACAATAAGAAAATATCACATTTTGTCACAATTCATTTAAATCTCAAAATAAAAAGTAATGAATCATTTTCATTTTAAGATAGTATCACATCTCGATATTATCACATTGCAATCATACTGGGATCATCAATCTTATCACCCTAATGTGTACGAAAAATACTGTGACAACGAACTGACCAGTACACTACATCAAACATTTGTACGACAAAGTTATCCAAATTTTTACACTTCCTTTACGGATTTTAGATACGGTAGTATTCCTCGTTCACTGTAATTTTAATTCTATAAATAAAAAATACAAAAAATTGATCTATTTCAGCTTCCTTCAGTTGCGTAACTTTAACTTGTCCTGATTTCTGTCATTATTTCCATCATTCATAATCGATACAAAAAATATTGTAACTCTCGACTATGAAGTACTGGATTATAAAACATTTTTAAAGAAAACTAAAGAATTCTTTAACTTAAAAAAGTAACACAATTTGCGATTTGAAAGCTAACAAAAGGCTATCCATAATAGGACAAATTCTCCTTATATATCTGAGAAACCTATCAATTCCTTTGCTTAATGCAATTTTTCGGACGACTACTAACAAAATATGTGAAAATTTTCAGTGAGTTCTATAAGCAAAATTACATATTTCACGAAGATTTTTTAGTGAAAAACCTCATGACAATTACCATAGCTATAAATGACATAATAACAGCACAAATACCTATAATATATAAACAATCACACCATGAACGATATGCACGCTCTTCAAGTCGCTTGCTTTCCCTTAACAAACTTCCTTTATGACTGTTTGTTGCCTTCTGTAACCGAGACAGTGTCTAAAACATAAAATATTTAAAATTTCTAAAATTAAATTTGAGCTAAAATCCGTTTTATTCATATAAATCCAAATTTCCCAAATAATTTCTGTATATTCCTAATTGAAAATATAAAAAGAATTTTACATTATTCTGGAACCTATCGATCTTCATCAAAAATGTCAGACTGGTTCCTCATCCCATTCTGTCAAATATATTTTTAAAACAGAAATCCAAAAAACAAACCGCGTTATCTTCTTTGATGACTGAACTGGCTGTTGAATATGTTTGTTTCATTAAACGTACCATACCAAATAATTCATCCATCAAATTCTCCTGCTTTTCAGCTTCACGTCGGGCAATTTGTTCCATGTCCAAGTTAGGATCAAGCGATGATGACCTGATCAAAAATTAAATGTTGCAAAAATAGCAAAATATATTAATGAAAAAAAAAAAAAAAAAAATGGGAAACATGAGACTGTAAAATACAGCGAAACATATGATTTATTTAAACCTCTCTGGTCCATCAAATAACTGCATGCGCAAATTAGCCTGATATGCGGCCTTCTTTTTAGCTTTCATTAAAACACTGTTTTCAGTCGAATCTTCAGTAGTAATTTCAGAATCTGCTGGTAAGTCTTGCTCATCAATAATTGGGGCAGATCTCTGAAACAGATTAAAAATTTTTACACAGTGCAAATACTTTAAAGGATCTTCATAGATTATTAGATTAAAAAAGACCTTACTTTTTGTTCTGCTTCAATTTGAAGACGTAGTGTTTGCAAGTCTTCTCCATAATGTTTTAACACTTCACTATCAATATTCCTGAAAAATAGCATTTCTGGACAAGATAAAACGAAAATTAACATAAAACTACTGATTTAATCTTGTTTTTTAAGGTGAGGATGACACCTTAAACTACATTTTCTCTTTTAATGACAATGAATACAATTGATAAATAACAGTCACTGAAATAAGAACAAACCATAGGCGACAGTACGATAATCACAAAATTGTGCATTTCAAAATGCAATGAAACTAAAATGCTTACCTATTTTTTTGTAATCTGTCGTATAATTCTTCCATTTCTTCCAAAGCAGCATTAAGTTTGATTATATTAAAAGAGATACTCTCTGCACAAAGCCTCTCAGTTCGACCTAACAGATGTTGGAAGTTAACTTCATCAGCTGTAATGGTTCCCATCACGGCTGCTGAAAAAAAGAAATGCGAAAGTTAAGGATTTCAGCATCATCCTATGCCCAACACTGAAATCATTGATTGCATTACAGGTAACTAATATGATGCAACATTTCCCTGAAAACCCTCTTTAGATAATACAAACCCAAAATGACCATCACAATACCACCTAATAATCTTTCCTATCAATATATATTCCAAATAGAAAGATTTGAGGAAGATAAAGGAGAAATACTTCTCCTACGTGGACTGGAAACTTATAGCAATACTAAATTTTAGGAGAAATAGGGAAATAGTAACTATGGAAATGATAACTCTGCGATTACAATGACGGGAATTTTCTTTAAAAAAAACCAGCAGTGTATGTGAAGTAACAACAGTTTATTGGAAATAATAATTATATAATATAGTCCAAACACATAAATTAACATACCAGCAAAAAGTATCCTATATATCTCAACTGTATGGAAAAATTTGAGAACTTATAACATTACGCTTAGATTTCATAGGATTATCTTATACACTTCCAAAAAAATTTTTTTTGACAATACATCCACATTAAAAATGGTGCAGAAATTATTGCTATTGATTTAGCATATGTCTCAGCCCGATATATGTGTCGAATGAATAGCAATAATTCTGTTCGCCTCTTCCAATATTCTCATATAATTCAAAACTGCTATCATGAAAACATAACAAACAGAGAGTGCCATCACGTTAATTTTTATATGTTAATCTGATATAGTTTAAACGATGAAACTAAAATTGAGGTTCACGCTGATTTTACAAACTAAAAAATGTATCCCACCCGTACCACTGATGGATTTCATTTTATCATCAAAACTATAAGAATCTGCAGCTCTTAATTCAAAATTAAGCAGACTGCTGCGCCTCCTGCTCTTTTTCTTTCTCTTCATGCTCTTTAATCAACTGTGAGACCTCAGCACTTGTCAAATTCTCCACCACTGTTTTGTCGTTGCGTCGTGTTAGTGTTGCCATTTCAACTGAAAATTATGAGATTAAAAAATGATGACATGAGAAAAATCAGTTAGGACTGACAGAAATAACTAGCAAATCACAGCAGCACATATAACGATGGAAGAAAGGTTGGAAATTGGATGCCAAATTAAAAAAAAATACATGGTAAATCCCTTGCCCTTGTTTCAGGTTGTATTCAACTATTCCACCTGCTAATTTATTGTTAGCACCACAAAAAAAGAAAAAAAAGAAAAAAAAATCACAAAAATATGATACAGAGCTTTTAACCACTGAATTAAAATTTAAAGTTTTGTAGAAAGAAAAAAATTATACTTTTTTCTGCCGATAATTTCACGTCTAAAGTTTTTGACAAGACCTTCATGGCCAATTTCTTAGCTTCAACCAAGTCGGGTGATTTGTATTCCTGCTTTAGAAGCGATACGGCAGCCTGAAAAATCATCTAATAAGCTGATTACAGATATGATCAAATTAGCATACGTAATATGTTTTGTAGTTTATGTAGTAGTTCAATGTTTTTAGATTTTAATAACATCAATGTCAACAATAATTCTAATGAATCACCCATTTTTCGAAATGTTAAGTAAATCATTATTAAGAAAAAAAAAAAAAAAAAATAGAAGCAAAGGGTCAAGACTGCCACAGTAATAAATACTTATGTATTAAAGGTATCTATATTACCTGATGATTATTTCCTATGCATGTTGCTTTCCAACCGGTATAATTGCCACTCGGATCGGATTGATAAAGCTGGTATCCAAAATGCTGGTCCCAACCCATATAGAGAAGTGAAACGCCAAACGGTCGTTTTCCTATAGAAATCATCGATTAGAAACATTTGAAAAGTCCATATTTTTACAAAGTGGGCATGGACAACTTAAATTTTTATCACTTCACGCTTGCAGAAGCCTAATCAATCAGAAAGCGTTCATTAGCTATTATTAAAATACTACAGTCAAACTCCTAACGGCAAAATGATGTTTCAACTAGAATGCAGAACTACATCACAATTTTGTTACTATTCTTTATAAAGAACTGTAAAACATGAAACAAACCTCCAACTTGTGTATAGCGCTGCTTCTCATTACAAAGCGTCTGCACTAATTGCTCAACAGGAATATGCTCACCATAGCTATACTTGTAATCTGCTGCCCAAAATCTTAGATGATTTATCAAAATGTTAGCATCGGCTGTGATTCCCGCAACCGTACACGCAATATTATCTGCCAACCGATAAATTTTTTCAGTTAAAACCTGAAATTCGATATAAGATAGAAAGTGAAGAATAATACTAACCACAATTTATATAGTTGTTTGATGCAGTACGTAATAACTACTTCTCAGTAGATCTTTCTGTTTTGATGAAAAGCAATTAGTCAAATTTTTAGAAGGAAACCACTGTTTTCAAACACAGACTTTAATGAAAAATAAAGCAGTTCACCATTCTTCTAACACTTACTTTCCTCCTTTTATTTCCTAACATTAAAAGACTGACTTCCACATTTTTTATCAAATTCATTTATAGTTTAATCTTTAGCAAGTAATTAATAAAACTAGTAACTACTGCAGGATATTAAAAATCCATACTTCATCGTCAAGCAACTTATGTACGTTCCGTTTCTCGGCAGCAATAAGGATACCATCAGAGGCTAAAATACCAAGACAAGTACCCGCATGGGATATAGCCTCCATTGCATATTCCACTTGGTAAAGTCGACCTTCTGGTGAGAAAATTGTTGTGCGAGTATCATAACGTCGAGCCTAAATTGGGTTATACTAACTCTCTCTAGTAACGATACTCTCGCCAAGAATTAAACATATTTATATAGGCATATTTCATTCTCTGCATTGTATAATACATACCGATCATGTATTCAATAACGTGGAACGTATAATACGCAAATTACGGATGACTAGTACGTCATACTTATGCTTTTGAGAATTTTAATCCCTCATTATGTTGTCTATATCTACATAACGCGTGAATTATATTATGGATTTTGTATAAAGCAGTATAAGAAGTTGGTTTATTGGAATATCCTATTTTTTATAATGGAAACAACATTACTCGGGATGTTTTTTCTTGCAGAAGAAAAGAGTTTTTGGAGATAGAGCAATTACAAATAACTAACTTGGATTACTTCTACAAAAGCAAACTACGAAAAATCGAGAACAAAATCCCATACAATATTAACTGTTTACTTAATCATCGAAAATATTTGCAGTAATTGCCAAAACAGACCAATTAGATAATGTTATGCATTATTTTTAATATGTATTCATAAAATAAGAAATGATGACGACTTACGTCTCAAACGCTGTACAAGGATAAGAATATTACATTTTTAGTAATTTTTAATTAAAACAAAAGTTACCATAACTTAAGCGATGTTATCGTTGATTTCTAAGCGATGACTCTACCTGCAACTAAATGAGTAATTAAAAATCACATAAACCAACGCTTTCACAGCCAGCAACATATCTAGTAAAGATGATGACACTGAATAACATTAATTTAACAACCTACCACCTACACCAAATACCGCCCCCTCACGTCAAACCTTACGCTTCCACTTCACTTTCTTGGTCTACTTCATTTTCCGACCAACGCGTCCGGCTATGTACTGTCACAAATTATCTTTGACACGGACTCTATGCAAAAATCCATTTCCACGACAATGCATGACGAATGTATCCGAGGATCAAACAAAGAGGTAAAACGTCTTAGACTGGAATGGAAAAGTCAAAGCAATTAATCATCTTTAATTAATGAATTTAATTTATAGGGCTAGAAGTAGATTGAATCCGTTCTTTCTTTCTTTTTTTTTTTTTAATTAAAAAATCTCTTATTTAAAATAAAAATCCTTAATTTTATTTTTTTAAAATTTCTAACTTTTTTTTTGATTAAAATTTGTTCAGATATCTTTTATAGTATTAGAAAGGAAAATTAATAATAATGTAAATTCAAAATTTGATAAGTACTTTATTCTCATGACAAATGTTTAAGATATAAATCTCGAAGAACGGTATCATAACCAGTGAATATATCAATATCCATAGCATATAATGAAATATCAGTGTACACTTGAGCTCGTGGTGGATTACCTCGTCGTAATTCCTTGCATTCTGTTCCATAAGACAGAACACCAAGTAATGACCACTGACCAGTTGATCCAAGTACAACTAAACCACCTCCACTGTCGCCCTGAAAACTGAATTGGTATACATTTAAAATTAAAATTATAATTTCTCTTATCTGAATTGAAAATATTACGAGAATAATACAGGTTTCTTGCTAATAATTTTAATGATAACATTTAAATTTGATAATTTGCATAATTGAACTGGATGAATTGAAATTCGTAATTGTCATAATTTTTTATTATTTCCTCTGTAAAAGTGCTTTGAACGGTTGTTATCATTAAGTGGAGTGTTAAAAAAGGTGAAAATTTCCATGGGTCATAATAATTCAAACCAAAATAAACGTCAAATTAAAAAATCTAAAAAACGATCTGTAAAAAAACGAAAAAATTTGCCAGATAATAAAAAGTATTGTAAGCAAACATCACAAACAATAAATCATCAATCTATGAATTTAATATATAGCAACGATAAGGAAAAGACTGAAAACAACAATCAGGTATGTTAAAAAAATTTTTTTTTTCCTTTCTTTTCTTTTTTTTTTTTTTTTTTTCAATATTCTAAATGGAGTAATTAATTAATGCACAAATTTATAGGTGCAATCTTGAAACTAATATTTTTGAATTTTCCAATTATTGAATCATTTATTCCTAAGTGCTTTAAATGCTTGAGTGATGTTGAAGTAATTTTACAGTAATTATAATAAGTTATAGTTATTGTCATGCAATGAGGACAAATGTTTGTGTGAAGATGAAGTGGATTTAATGGAGCATATACAAATTTTATTGGATTCTTATCCCAAATGCAATTTTGTTCAGCAAATATTGCAAACATTATGCAACGAAGGAACGGTATAATTAATAATTTATCAATTACACCAACCCAATGATTAGAAAAGCTAATGAATAAATCATTACTTTTAATATTACTTACTTTTTCGATTGAAAAGAATGTCTCAAAAATAGCAATTACAGGTGACTGAGAAAATAATAGCACATCTCATCGATAGATCAATTCGTAGGCAAAGAATGATCCAAAAGCAAATTAAGATTTTAAAAAGCAGCCAGATCAGAAAATCAATCGCTGATGATAAGTGAATATTAAGGTATTGTGAACTTTTCATTTCACATTTATTTCATTTTGGCAACAGTAATAAAGCAACGAATGAGTCAGAAACAAATTAAACAGTTTGAAACTTTCAAATTTTTTAAACAAAGATGAAAGTTATCTTAAGTAAAGAAAAATAAAAAACAGTTAATTCTAGGAATTTTTAAGGTTTACAATATGAAATTTTAAGTTGAGAATAATTTCAATAGTGCTATCAGAGTCATTTCATGCTTTACTGTTCCAGAATACTTGAAAGTAGTTTTTTCCTTATTTAAAACAATAATTAGAAGAGCGTCCATATATGTAATAATTACGATGTAAGTAAATGTCCTAACTGCAATTTGAAATATTCAAAATTTAAACAAGCAAAATTAATTAACCCGACATGTACTTGCCACCCTACTTTCTATTGCGCAAATTGCATCCTCTGTTTTCGATATTTTCAAACATTTTAGTCGATTCATTGTCTTTGGAAAATTGACCAGTTGTAAATTATTCGCTAGCTCTTCACCATCAGAAGATGCTGAAATTACAAGCTTTCGACGTAAAATCATTACGAGATTTTTTCTAGCTAAATTTAAAAAGCTAAAGAACTTACGAATAGAACCCCAACCATAACCAGTTAATCGTATTTGATCTTCTTTTCTGATAATATTTCGATGTCCTAAGCAAATATAATTAGTTAATGGCCCTTCAATTGTGTCCTCCAATTCTAGCAATGCAAAATCTGCCATTAGACATTTCTCATTAAAAAATCGTCCATATTGCGCCCTAAAATATGCAATATAATGCAATCTACAATATTAATAGTAATTATTTACAGTGATTTAATGATAATAGAATATGAAATATCAATCAGTTTATTCAGTAAATAAGATGATTTCAACTTTTAAAATATTAGTGTCTTAATGTGTCATATAAGCAACAAGAACAAATCATAAGAAACTTTTTTTTTTTTCTTTTTTAATGAGAATGTATCTCAATTATTTAGTATATTGAGATTTTCAGCATGTCATCATATCGATAACATATCACATGAGCCATAAGAGTTATTAAATTATTCCGTTTGATCGAACTTAATTGATTGACTACCGATTGATTAGGTTAATTAGTTGTTTCGGGACGAATATCTTCATATATAGTAATTTGCAAAATTAGAAAACATCAATCATAAATAAAATGTCAAAAGTAATAATTATATAATTTAACCTAATAATTCCGCTCAATTTCATTTCTGGTGCATTATTGCATAAATTTCCATTTCGTTGTTGTATGCAATTACTACCATATAAAACGGTATACTTTTTAAGAGATTCTTCTTGGTAATAACCAAAAGATACACTGAAAATTATTATTGGTCAATTTAAAAATTTACCTATATTATTAAATTCTAAAATGAAATTAAAGTATATGTATAATTTATGTATTCATTTTAGAGCTCAGCTAGTAGCAGCACTAATTTTTCCTTGTTTTTATCGTCTCAAAGCCTTTCTCATCATCTTTGGTATCTGTCATCTTAATTAAGCGTAATCACTAATCAATCTTATATTCTAATCTTAAATTACAATTCTAAGTTTTGAAAGATTAAGTAAAGCAATTGTTAGTTAATATTATGCAATTAAAATTAAAGGATCTTAAAAGTAAGTACACATTATATGGGTGTTATTATAAAATCAACTGTTTCCAAAATATTTCTTAGATATAAGCTATAAGCCTAAAATGAAATTTTAAGCATCTAAAGTTAGCGACCACAAAAAAAAAAGCAATTATGTGACAAAAAAAGAAAAGAAAAAGCAACTATTTTTGTCGTTTAAATATAAACGAGCTAAACAAGTAGAACAAGAAGATGAAACTATTTCAGAATTAGAATCTAATAATTTCTTCTGATCTCTCTGCCTCTACTAATAATTATTCATTATGCTTCAAATTTACAGTTTATGAGTAACTTTTTCATCATTGTTTTGATGAAATGGATAAAATGGGTAAGTGTTGTTAATAATAAATGTACCCTGATGATGTCATTTAGTGAATAAAATGGTTTTGCATTTTCAAAAAAAAAAACCGATTCATAAGTTTATATACCTTAAATTCTTTTGTTATAGCTAATTATTACTAGGCTATTTGATAAAACTCAACTGATAAATGCTAATATTTTGTTTTTTGTTCTGTATCATTTTTTTTTTTTATGAAAGCATTGAAAATTGTCTATAATATTTAATTGGAAAAAAAAAACAAACAAACTTGCAGGGCTTTGTGGCAAAAATTCTTTTAAAGCAATGCGCAGCTGTGATAACATGCTTTTGTGATATCAGTGTTCCAGTACACACATATACTATAATCATAAGAAAGATTTATTTTTTTTAATAGTGATGCAATTCGGAAAATAGTTTTAATGAACGTTGTTTATTCGTAGTTAAATGGTATTTTAATAAATATACATGAATTAGTGTAATGATGATATGTGAAAATTGCTTCAGTCAACAGAGAATAATTTGCTACAGCATCATTAATTAATGAATATATTTCATTCATTTTATTCATTAGCTAATTGAAATTTTAATAATCAAAAAAAAAAAAAAAAGGAAGGAAACTACTATTTTATAAGAAAGTAGAATATGTTAAAATTTTTTTTGTAGCAAAAAAAAAAAACACAAACTACGGCCATGAAATAATGCTACAGCCCATGGCATTTCTCCAGGTGATGCATTTTCTCCGCCCATTATTTTAAATTGAATTTTCCCATTTGTTAGATTAGTAGTGCCACATTTCTCTGGATCTGTAATTATTCATAATTTTGTTAATTGATATCAGTGCATTCTTAATAAGCATCATGCATAAGTTCTTTGTTAGAATAAATTCACAATTATATTCGAATTACATTCCAAATTTTTGCAAAACTAGTTAAATTTTAAATTAATTTGATTTGAATTTATAAAAAAAGAAAAAAGAAAAGAAAAAGTGAAGAAATGGATAATTCAAACCATAATATTTGTCCACTGGATTCAATATATGTTTGAGAGCTGAAATATTCGCCTAAAATTCGTAAACCTAAAATTCGCCTAAAATAACTTCAATCCTTTTTTTTTTTTTTTTGTCTATAGTTTAAGTGTTGGATTTAGTAATACTCTGATAGACAGATGTTTAAAGAAAAAAACAAAACAAAAGATGAATTAAATGCTTTTTATTCGAATCATCTGGAAATTTAAAAAAATCTCGAATATACAATGTGTTACTCTTGGTGAAATAAAAATATCGTTGATATTAAAAATGAAATTATTATGATAAACTAACATTCGAAACCTAAAATACCATCAAGTAATAAAATCATTATCATACATCGTTTAACCATCTTTTTCTTCCTCATCTAAATGAATCAATTTATAATTCTTCAATTACAACCGTTCCTCTAAAAAAGACACGCAAAAAGTATATCATACATTCATACTGCTTCTTATTTTTGTTTTTTTTTTTAAAAATTTCGATAGAAAAGCGCAAAATTTTGTAAAATTTACATAACTTTTATGAATGTAATTTTACAACTGAAACAAATTTTACGTAAACGTAAATCGAATTTACAGGTAAATTACTTCCTCATATTTTAAATAGATTCAATATTCATGAAGCAGTATGCAAAACAAATTTGCTTAGTGTTCAGTAATAGTAATGGCTAAATTTATAATTCAAATTGAAAAATTAAAGATAATACTGAACTAATTCTAGTCTAAATTTAAACATCACCGATTTGATCTGATTAAGGTTTATATACAATTCAACAGATTGTAATAATTTTTTCGTTTATTCCTTCGAAAATTATCAAATTCTTAAGTGGTACCTTCTCAGCACCTTCATCGATAACTTCTATTAGCTCACAATTATCTAAATGTACTATCATTACTAATTCAGCTGACTTAAAAGCAATGGATTAGCTCGAACACAAGAACTAAAATTTTGTTTACAAATAGAAAAATTCAAACTTTTTGATCCCACCCTTAAGTCCACTTAAATATTTTAGTATTATAATCAGATAAGATTTTAAGCATAAAGTATGAAAAGTGATCAATCAGCTATTTAGATTTAGAGGACCTTTGAGCCTATATATATATATATATGTTTAGAAAATAATTTTACTCATCAATGTATCAACCAACTGGCACAGTTCTTAAAAAATACTAACACAAAAAATGATAACAATCTCAAAAAAAAAAAAAAAAATCCCGAAATTAAAACATAAAATTTCATTAAAATTTCCAAGATTTCGAATTATAACAAAATGACACATACAAATGGCAAAATATATCTGATACAAAACAAAAAACAGGATAAAATTTCATTTATGGAAGCAATTAGAGAATGTTATCTCAAAAAAGTAACGAAAATATGTTTATGATAAAGCGCAAGTGAGAAAGAAAATATCCGATATTGCAAATATAGAAAATTAACATCGAATAAGTTATTGAAATGTAGCAATTCCAAACATAATTACTGAAAATATGATAGATACCAATTGAGTGATAAATTGACACTTTGTGATAATGACATATATAAATTAATACATTATCTTATATGAACTTAACTGTAGTTAGACTAAAACATTAAATCAATCTGTTAAGTTTAAAATACAATTCATTAGCTTGACTTCAATCACAAACATCTGTTCATATTCTCCACCTACTCTTAGAATAATAGTTCTACACAATAAATAGTATGAAAATAATTGCTATTTGCTAATTTTATGTAGAAACGAATTTTAAACCAAAACTCATTGGATATGGAAATTTGATATTTTCAAAAATTGATGGTGAAACTCAAGAGATACAGAAAATGAATTTTAAAAGAAAATACTGCAACATAAAAAATTAATCAAATTGAAGAAAACCTCACTCCTAGATTCAAAAATGTCGATAAACTAACCAATTTATTTAGTATGATTTTGTATAATTTCCATTTTAACATAATTTAAATAAAAAATGCATATAGAATAAGAGGCCTAATATTGACAATGAGCCATAAACTTATATATTGGATCAGATACAATATATCCATGACTATCTTACTTATCAAAACAGCTATCCAATTAACAAACAAGACACGTCTCTAGGATTTATACTCTGAGTCCTGTTATCAGTAATTTCTTAAACAATAATTGGATCTTACATTCTTTTTGCTTTAACACAAATACATATAAAATCCTTGTCCTTATTTTATAACATCTTCGCTTTTCAAGAGTTGAAAAAAGTCAGAAAAGAGAATATCCCTTAAGATTCTGGAGTATTCGCCTATTACGCCCTCAATTCCGATAGAATCAGAGCGTATGAAAATTTCCCAATCGAATGAGTTTCACCATAGAACCAAGCAACTATTTTATCATTATTCATCATTCACATCATCTCAAATCCATAACTAAAAGTTCAGTAAAAATAGGAAGTATATAAACATACAATTAAATCAATAATTATCCTTTCAACATATAATAAAAAGAAAATGATAAAAATATAGAAAAATTGCCTAATCAGAGTTTCTTCACACAATGTTCTTTGCATTTAGTTCAATAAATGGAAATCAGATAAGGAAATTAAATTACCGAAAGGTACCTATGATCCATAGCAAATCACAAAAATTTGTCAAAATACAATCAGTAAGAAGATTTACAGAGAAAGAGGAAATGCTCATCGCCAATTATTATACATTTGATGATTGCGTGAAGCATTCATTTGATGCTGTTGTTCACCGTATAATTGCTTTTGTCGTTGTTGTTGCTGCTGATGCAACAAAAATTGCTCCTGTTGATAACTGTAGGCTGATTGATGAGTCATTAGTTGTTGCTGCTGAGTAGGCGGTTGTGGTAAAGGTGAAAAAGCTGAAGAGCAACCTGCTGAAGATACAGAATGCTGCGGATACATGACCTTTTGTGATGAAAGTACACTGCTGTAAGCTCGCGAAGCATTTTGAGGAATATTGCAAGTTGGAAGGGTCATAGTAGAGGAGGAATAACTGTAGGGATGTTGTGTGGGATTATGTTGATGTTGATGTACTTGTTCCTGAATGGACTGTTGAGAAACTTGAGAAGCATGACGTATTGTCGGAGAATGTTGGGACTGAAGATTCTTACAGGAGATTTGACGCTGCTGAACAGAACAAGAGGAAAAAACAGGTTGTTGTTGAGTTATTTGTGATTTAGTAAAAGTATCATTTACGCAAGTCGAAGATAGAGGATATGATGAAATGGAATGTAATGTTGATAGTTGACTGCCGTTAGATAAAGAAGAAGAATTAGGAAGTTGCTTGACACCCCAAGAAGATTGCTGCTGTATACACGATGACTGATAAGTGTTGCTGACCTGAGAATCTTTGCTTGTTCCAGACGTAATTTCCCGCATCGCTTGTTCGAGAGGTGAAGATTTCCGTTGAGAAGAATTTGAATATTTGCATGTCTCCGAAAATCTATTCCTGGAATAACCATTTTTAGAAGGAACTTGAATTAAATTTCAACTATCAATTTTTTTGAAAGAAAAACAACTTACGATGAAAAGTTAGCAGTAACAGAAGACAAAGATGCGCCTGGAAGCTTCTGAGTTTTTGTTACCGGCGGCGACTGTTTGCATGAAGATAAAGGTGTGAAATGCACAATGTTTGTTTGCCGGTTATTTTGTGAATGAATAATTCGTGACACGGATGATGCATGAACTGACTGCGCGCTGCTTACAGAATCTTTAGGTGAACTTTGCTCCGATAGACCATTATTACTGCACGACTCGGTTTTCTAGAGTTAATAATTTAAAAAAGTAAGAATTAAAAAAGTTTAAATTGCAAATTCACAACAAAAAAATACCTCAATCATCAATTCGCACAAGTTTTGCATTATCTAACATCAACTCCCTTGCTAATTGTTTTGCCGATCAAAATGATTACAAAAATAGCTTTCTAGCTGGGATATATATATAAATGAAATTCTCAAACTACACTTTTTGTCAAGACATAACTGGCACACTAACCAAAAAAAATCTTCCGAAATCTCTTCGGATTTTTTCATATTTTCAGTAATTCAATATATGAAAATTTGATTATCTCCAATTCAAAGCAATTACTATTTCAAAAAATTGTGATTTAAAAAATAAAACTACCTTTACTAAAGACCGTTCCGCTTCAGTACTACTACATGCCTGCTCACTCTCCGAATTGCACATTTGACTTCCACTCTTTTGATCTACAATCACCTAAAATATATGGAACGGGTAAAGTACTGCAATTCATTGCTTTTGGCAGAAATTAGCAAAATTCATCCAAGTTAGTAATGACAGATTTATTAAGTTGAGAATGTGATAAACAATCGGATTAACATACATCTTCTTCAGTGTTCATGTCAACTTCAGTATCAGCGCCTAACTCCACTTCTTCAATTTCTTGCAAATCCGAATCCTGTAACTGATACAAAAATATAGTGCAGAGCAAGAAAATACATCATTTTAAAATATGATTATCATCAAGCTAAAAAAAAAAAAAACATACACACGAAACTCCACAACAGCTGAAAATTAACGTGGACACCTGAAATGCAATCTATTGAAGACTGAAAAAACTGTCTCGATATCGCTGTTACGTCAAGTTGTTTTATGGAACGATGCTTTATCGCTAATGATGTTGATGATCTCGTTTGATGAGTAATGAAACGTTTTCAGATGCACAACTTCATTTGATATTTCCACAAGATGTTGAAATATTAAATGAATTTCTTTTTCTGCATCCATAATAACAAGTGGAATACCAAGCAGAAAATCAATAAGATATTGAAATCTTTAAATGCGGTATTCATTTTAAACTGCTCTCCTTCTTATATTCCAATATACAACAAGCATTTATTTTGGCATTTTTTCCTTCGAACGAGAAGTGCCTAAACTGGAAAAAGATACTTTTGGCCGTACAGCGAAACCCACTGATTCGACAGCAACCAAATCTTCATCTTCATCTCTACTTGCTTCCAGCCGTTCAGCTTCCTAAAAAATAAGGATCAAAAAAATCATTTAAAATAAACCCGCATTTTATTAGTAAGGTTTTTTTGAAATAATTTTTTTTTCTCTCTACTTGCCTCTCGTTCCCATTTCTTAATAGCTTCTTCATCGCGCTTTCTATTTTCAGCTGCTTCACGTTCTTTCTGCTCCTGAAATGCGAAATTTGTTATAAGAAACAGAGAAAGTGTAAACGAGAAAGTTGTCTTTGAAATGCAAAATAAATAAGAAACAATTTCAAAAGTTAATTTCGCTTGCTTATTACTTTTAACTACAGAAAAATTGTTTCTTGTTACGCTATTCATTCGAAAATGAGGCATATACCTGCAATTTCCGCTCAATTTCTTTACGCTCTCTGAGTGCTTTCTGAAATGAGAACTTAAAAAATATCCAGAATTTAATCTTCTATACCAGGAGAAACTTTTTTCGACCCCTCACTTACCTCCAAACCGCGATACAAAAAAACTGGTCTTTTAAAATAATGACTCACGGTCCAAAACTTCAATCACCTAAAACAATAGAAAACAATCTTACCTCAGCTGCTGCTTTTTCAGCCAATAATTTTTCTCGTTCCTTGTTCTCCCGAGCTAACATGACTTTCTGTCCAGAAGTTAACTTAGGCGTTAGGAGTGCAGATGTTCGATTTGAACTAGCCTAAAACAACCCAATGATTACCAACGGTTAAAATATTTATATGAGTTAAGGAATTAGGACCAAATATTCAGTTTGATATCATATTGGTTTATAATCTAAACTACCTTGCACTGCATGTTTTCCAATCGAAAATTTTTTATTTTTAAGCGATCATTCCGTCCGGTAACCCAAACTCCCTTTCACTATAGTTATAAAAATGACTGATACTGAGAGTAAAATGAAGCTCAGCTTTTTAAAACCAATGTATGAAATATTTCGTTTACATATACCAATATATGTTCTTTTATAGTCAAACTAAATAAAAAACTGAAATCCTCAGATCATTGCTTCGTGTACAGAAATGATTAACAGAAAACTATGTTATCAACAACTCAACTAACCAGAATCTCAACTTCTACTCCACTGTTACATTTCACGGAATAGTTCTCTTTCTTGTCAAAAGTATTCGATGAACGAAAATCCACAGCATTAGCAGTTGATGCTTGTCGCAATTCAGTATTTGATGCATTTTTATTCCGAGAAATTTTAGCAGATAGTATGTCGGCTCTCGAAGTTTTCAATCCCTTCGGTGTTACTTGAGATGCTCCACTAAAAAATTGAATTATTTTGATTAATTAAAAACTAAATCAAATTTAAGTCGATGCTTTAAGTCGACTACTGATTTAGTCAACATTGTCAACTTTATTGTCCGTTTTTTGTTTTTATGAAATAACCATCACATCAGTAAACTTAATACTGATGGAAATGGAAATGACGATGAAAAAATGGCGAATTACTAATATCAAATTTCTGCCTGACAAGCATATATATATACATATATATATGATCATACAATTCACTTGAACTAAGGAAATAAGCAACAACTACCGAAAATATATCTAAAAGCATAAAATTTATTCTTTACTCTTACCCAGTCATTGCCAATTCCATTTGAATTTAAAATTGGAATCAAAAATTCAATTAAGGTTTCAAAGGTCACAAAAAAACTTTAAGGAAATCAAAACAATGAAATGAATAACTTACGACTGTATTTTAGAATCATCATTTAGTTCAATGAATGCTTTCATCTCAGGAATAAGAACCAGCTGCCGTCTTTCTGGACACAATCGCAATATCTCCAAGATCAAGTCTCTGCAAGAATAAGAACAATTTTGTTTGGCATGTTTTTCTATTCATTTAGCATGACAACAACAGCTTTCCAAAATCAAGACTCAAATTTTACCAAAATTTTCTTGGGCACTAATATTTCTGCAGCTGTGCTCTTCTTTTCTGTTATATCATATATTTGATATGTATCAAGGAGAACAACCCAAGTAAATATAAAAAAAAAAACACTGTAAATCACCTAAATTTAACGTAATCCTTGAAAAGCGGTCTAATAGTGTAGTACAAATACTGCACAACTGTCGTATTAGTAATATGGGTAGAATCACCATGTTGCTCGAGATTAGTAAACAGCAAAGTCACTTGTTTTTTCAACGTTGCTCTGAAAAGAATATTAATATTTATACAAAAAAGAACATTAGCAAATAATTTAGTTTAAAATGAAAGGAAGCTTGGCAAATTTAGCAATTCTTAAAAGTAACGATTGAATATGAAATAACCTAATACAGTAAGACTCGAATCTTATATAATATTTTTAATTTTGGAAAAATCGCAACCAAATGGAATAAAAACAAATTATCATAGAAGTCAATCAAAAAAGTACCTCAATGGTTCAGTCCAAACAAACCGTTTCGATGGCTCAATTTTACCTTCTCTTTCAGCCCTAAATTATTCATTCATAACTTTTTTCGAATTGGCAATTTCAAAAAACACAAAGACCTTTAACATTTTTTCATATTCATAACTTCCGCTATAAATTACACATTTACCTCGCTTTCTCCTTTAGATATTCGTTTTCAGTACAAATAACAGCTTTTTCCACTTCTGAAAATTAAATTAATCAGTTGCTACAAATTTCACTCTTTGCTATGAAGTTCTGTACTGTGACCTTTCACATATCATTACCTGAAACAACCTGAGCCAATCCATTGTTGATTTCTTTCAGTGCACGTGAAGTTTTCTCATTTGTAGGTTGTTTCAATCCCTAAACATTAATATTTGAAAAGAGAACTGCGAGCACAACATAAAGTGCTCCAAATTATGGACACTGACATACTAGAATTAACATCATGCTTAATAAATGGTGATACTTACTGTAGTGATAGCAGTAGACGTTTGCGTTTTGTGATTTTCAAAGACTTACTTTTATTAAAGTTGAATTGGAACTGTTACTGGGAAGCGCTCGATTTGTTTTCGTTTGAGGTTTCGATGGCTGTGGATCGCTTTTGGAAGCAATAGGTTTTGATGGCACAGAAGTTTTCCCAGAGCTAGTTGGTGTTATGGTAGTCATCCTACAAACAGGTTAAAATATATTGTGTGTATCTTGTAGAAGAGTTTTTTGATGCCATTTAAGAAAAATTAAGAGTCAGTTAATATTCCCATGAGAAAAAACTGACTTCTTTTAGTTTTTTTAAAAAAAAATCACTAAAACCAATTCATTATAGCAATTTCGATATCATCCGCTATGTATGCGTTAAGCACACTTATTCTGTTCCCATATAAACCAACTTATTTTTTTTTTTAGACCATTCATTGGCACATGTAAAAAAAGTCACAGACTCCCATTACTATGCATTGTTCATCCAACAGTAAGGCTTAATGAGAATTTCAAATAGAAATTTATAAGAATGAGATATCAGTAAAAACAGAGGGAGGTTAATTTCCTAAACTTTGTAGTACAATAAATTATTGTATAACCCACACTATAGAATTCTACTTAATAGTTATGCCAATGAATGGTCTAAAAAAGATTACTTAGTAATTTAACGATGGATAAATCACGCAACATATAGATCACATAACATAAAACAGCTACAGTTATTTCATGAGCAAGTTCAAAGTGAAGCTCTCATCGAGTAAATGTAGATTCAAATGTCTAATTCGATTAAATGCAATAGGAATAAGCAACAAAGAAAAAATTGTTAATCCAGAAAGCTAAATGAAATATACAAGACTCACTTTGCAATGTTATTGAGAGTTAACTGGTATTGCGACAAAAGTTCGGATTGCTGTTTACTGCTTAGGAGATGAGCATTCATTTGAGTTGTTAAATTATCAACAACAGGTTGTTGCTGACGAAGAGAATCACCACGAGTTTGTTGCATCATTGTTGCAAACACAGATAACAGCTGAGTGTTATTCAGTGCATTAGTGACATTCGTCGTAATTGAAGCTTTTGATGAATCGGAAGCCTACAAAAAAAAGTGGTGTTTCACTAGCGATTGAGATCATTTCTTATCCTTATCACCATTGATAATCGCTCAAAATCCAAATCACTAATAAGTTCTATACAAAGACATCATTTACATTATAAAATTACATTAGGCATCTAATCAAGAACATATTGCCTAAGATTTGCAAACGCATCTACTGGTGCAATAAATAAATAAATGTAGATAAGAAATTTTTTGACATAAAATTTACAGTTTTTGAAGGGATCGAACAATCCCAACATTTTTTAACAGATATGGATGGAGCGGTAGCATCTGATGATGTGGTTCCCACTTTTTCAGTGCCTTCCTTTGCTGCTGCAATATGTTTATCTAATGATCTGGCAGCATCGCTGCTTGTCGTATGTTTAACACCAATAAGCTGTTCCTTCTTTTCCGACGTTATTGTCTCATGAGGAGATTTAGGTGAATCCGAAACAGATGATGAAATTGTAATGACGGAAGAAGATGAATCATTAGAACCAAACAGTCTTTCACTGTTCATTGAGCGGGATGCTTCTTTCACTTCATTCACTGGTTCATCTGCATTAATGTCTGAATCCGACGTAGCGATCGACTGAAAAAAAAAAAATCCATTAAAAAAAAATAACACGAATTTGTTAAAAAATAAAACCTTTGTATGATTATCAAAATTTTCGCAGTGGATTAAGATATATCACTAGCATGATAATTTTTTGCACATATGCAATTTTCCATTCATAAGTCTATCACCACCAAACACTTGGTTGAAATACATTTCTATTTTTCTAAATCTATCTGTTTTGTACAAAGCCCAATCGTATCATGAAGTATTTAAATGAGAATCAAAACTGCACTTACTTTATGCTGTACCTCATCAAGTAATCGGAACACTCATAAAATTACATAGTTATTACCAAAAACTGTCAGCCTATTTCAACTAACTTCATGACGATCTCGATGAGCTTTCATACGGATATACAGAGAATTTCGTTGCACACAGACCCAGTTAGCCAGCAAATCAAAAATTCGCGTCTTTTGCTGATGATTAAAGTGTTCCAACGTACATTGCTCTTCAATTCTATAAATTAGTAAATTAATGTGTTAAAATTTTGAAAATAATAGAGGGTCTACTAAGAGCAAACTTTCCAATAAAAAAATTTTTTTAAAGACATACGAAGCTACTCATTTCATTTATTTTAGTGCATTATTAGCATTACGTCACCTACAGTGAATCTCACTTTCCCTTCTTTTGACAAACTTTGCAACGAGTGGTTTCTTTTTAACGGTTACTTAAACGACATTAGTGTTCATCGAACAATATAGACCCAAACCTTATGCAAAGATCAACCAAACTCGGTGGAAGACGGATTTTTTTATTTGGTGCACCAAATTCCTTTGTCTTCTGTTTATATGTATCGATCATTGTTCGCAATTTATCCGACATTATTGGCATTTGTTTGTGCTAAAATGCATAAAAATAATAAGAATTGGAAATCTAAAGATAAAGATAATAGTACGCTGAACTTGATTCTGCAGATATTCCAATGGACGAGATGATTTCGATAATCAAGATTTAATGTGTAACTGACACTCTAGTTATTAATCTAACCTGCATTGTTGAACCAGTAGGCCGCCCAGGTGAGCGTTTCGGGATGGCTACAGTGAATGAAGGCGCAGATAAACCTGAACTAGAAGCTACCTGTGATTGTGATACTTTCTCAGTAGGAGGTGTTACCGGTTTATCAACAACATCAGTGTCATGTTCGATGGGTGTGCTTGTTGTTTTTTGACAGACCTGCTGAAAAAACATGTAAAAAGTAGTTTTCACTGGAGAAGTCATCACAGACTACATTTTGGCTAAATTATGCCACTAATTATCAAAAATTAAATTTGAATCTGAGAAAACCGCACTTCTTTCGTCCCAGAAATTACATCTTCTATTCCTTCCACGATTTCTATTTCACCACCTGTCATGTCTTTTAAAAATCCAGCTAAATCCTCATCGTTCATTCCAATAGTTGCTCTCTTTGCTTGTGGTTTCAGTCTGAAATAATAAATACTAATTCCTAAACAGATAAAACTATCTTAAAATCAAAAAAGCAGGATGACTAAAATTAATTATCACATCAGCGTATCGACATGTAAAATCCAATCAACTGATCATATTTCATTTGACAATAACAATCAGAATGAAGTTAAAAAACACAAAAACTATCCATGACGCTAATACAAAAATGTATTTTAACAAAATCTGCATTTTCAATCAAAATACTTACTTCTTTTTTACACCAAGAGCAGCTTTTACAGCTGCTGATTGAATTTTTGCCATTGGTGGTTGCCCCAAAAGACGTCGCTTTTTAATATACTGTTGTGTGAGCAGACGATTGCGAGATGGGTCTCTTGGTTTTACCGTAGGAGCAGCACCGGATGAAGACAATCTAACTGGTGACTGAGGATTTGATGCTTTTACAGATTCCATTAATGATGAGCTATTATCGACAGGTGATTTTGTAGGAGGGAAAATGCATGTACGCTTGCTATCGCTTGTTTCTTCATCGCTGGAGATTCTCCGTTTCTGAAATGATAATCATCTGGATATTTCATCAAGACTAGCTAATAACATCTATTGCAAGAACCTCAGTTAATAATAAACCGTGAGATAAGGATGAAAAATAATTTAGATAATTGCAGCATAAAAAATTCCCAAACTTTTCAGATTTAACTACAGCGTAAGGTAATACAAAAGGTAGAATAAGAATTAGAACTACATTATTTTTTTTAAAGCTCAGTTGCTGATAAAGAAGTCAGTGTTATCAATAAGTGCTGATTCTTACTTTTTCCACCGCTTTCTTCTTGACTACTGTATCTTCAATATCACTATCTCCGTCACTTTCAGCAAACTTTGATTTAAACTCCAATTTTCCTTTGTTAACATAAAAACCTCCGCGTGCAGTATCCAAAGCTGAAGGAACGTGTTCATCATACTGAAATAATTATCACATAATTATAAGCATACAAATAAGATGAATGAAATTATCCAGAACTAATATCAAATAAGTTTTTAAAAAATTACAGCTTCCGTGTCATCAATAAATGGATCAGTGAGGTCATAACCGGCTGTCTTGTCCATATAATCATCAGCACAACCAAAACGAATCTTATGACCATGCTTGTCTCTCTTGCCGCCCTGAAAACATATAACTGATTCAGATTCCGACTAAATACCATTGTTTAATAGCATTTTTTACATATGTTTACAAGTCCCAAGCAACTATTACGAGACCTGTATATTCGGAAATTAAAATAAAACTATCCATCGATTAATTCAGTAAAGGCATTCAACTCACATATTTTCGTTCCAACCTTCTCACTATTTCCTCAGCTTCACGATCATGGAAACGTTCATCCTCACCACTTGATTCATCTTCTTTCTAGAATTGCACATTTTTATTCCGTTAAACATAAAAGTTATCAAAAATTTTTAGAATTTAATAGAAGCAAACATGGTATGTTGATCGGTGAAATCATGGCACAAGATTAACTGAACACTTCAAGAAATAAAACTTAAGGATGACAATAACTGAACATTTCATTTGCAGAAGTTCCCTAACAAAATATGCGATCCTCTTGCGAAAATCAACCACTACTATTAACTCTCAGTGATTCTGATTTCCAAAGTTAATTTTCCTAAGAAGTGTCTTCCTTAGAAAACATGTGATTGAAGAAATCGCGTTAAAAAAAGAAAAATTTACAAAATATTAGTAATCTGATTACCAGATATTCCTTGCAAATTTTTTCATAATCAAATTCAGGATATGATTTTTTCGTAGGCTTAAATAAATCCAACGTAATGATGCTGTATTTCTTCCGGACATGATGTTGTTTCTTCTTGCTTCCGCCCAGGTTCAGATCCATATCACCTGTAACACTTACTGTAACACCTACCTTCCTCTTTTAAATATGGATTTCAATACTATTTTCCCTTTACTCTTTCAATGAATTAAACTTGAAAGGGATGCTAACCACCAGTGGTACCGAATTATTGTTAAGCATTCTTTACATATTCAACTCCAATCAAAAGTTATTATCCACGGTATGAAGCCGTTGTGCATGCTTGTGTTGAGTCATGTTATCAAGATAAGCAAATAAAATTTTATCAAGATAAGCAGAGAGGCCTTATTGCTTTCGAAATCATATAATTTAGAAGTAAATATCTGAAGTGTTCTCTTATTCAGTCTAAATCACATTTCTATCTTATCTTTTGACCTCCTCGCTACAGCTTATAACGCTTCTCACATAATTCATAAAAACACGAAATCAGCTCCTACACAATACTTATCACATACTATGGTCTAAGTAAATTTCACAATGCATAGTCATAGTTGTACACCACAACCGGATTCGTGTTTTGCTACGCTGACAATTTCTAATTAGAAATTTTTGCCGTTGGATTCGCTTTAGCAGCAGCTAGAGATGGCAGCCTTGTTATTGTAACAGTGAAATGGTTTGGTTGACGTGTAACGGAATGGGTTGACGTATGGTAGGGTTAGCTGGCATATAGTGAAGTGAATAAAATCTGTCCAACTCTCGTGTATCTCAATATAGTATTCGAATCTATAGAGCATTTTGGACTGTTATTCTGGTGGTATGGCAGAAGGGAAAATATTTTCAAAGTTTTCATGTCTTATCAATGGAAGATTTGAAATCACTGAATATTTGAAATGAAAGTTTTATCTCGGAAGAGAGAAATCTGAAGGCAAAACAATTGCATATTTGTAAAGTTGAAAAGTTTTCATTTTTTCCATGTTAATTGAGGTGTGAAGAGCAAGTAAGATGGATTAGTTGGCTTCTTGACTTACTAATTATGACTGAATGAAGTCAAAATTAAATTTAATAATGGTTGTAGCTTTCTCCAGTAATGGAATGCTTTTACTGGTTTTAATACTCCTTGAACCGAATTCACTTCATAATTAAGAAAGCTTACATTCTAGGGATTTGGGAAGGATCGACTATAATCGTGTCTTTTTTTTAGCGAAACAAGATTGTCCCTGGGCTTTTCCTGAGAGTAATATGAATTGAAATGAAGACAAACAGACTGATAATAAATCGAGTTTCAGAAATAATTTTTGTGGGCATGATTCTGAATATTGTGAAGATTTGTTAATATTTCTCTATGTGATTATTGTGAAGATTTGTCAACTTTTAATGTACATTTTTATATTTTTATTTGTATTTCCATAGCTTTTACATGCAATAACTTCACCAAGCCAACATAGGCAGGTGAAAAATCTAGTGTGAGAACATGAAAGATTTCCGTAGGTTTCAAGGAACCAAAAACGAATCATTAGTTGACTTTTTTCCGTTTTTTTAATTTCCCTCCTTCAAAAAATGGCGATAAAAAATTCCAAATGTTAAAACCACTGAATTGGGAAAGCTTGCTATTATCAGTTAGATGCCGTCGAATATTCATTTCTTGTAATGATATCCATTACGTAGTTTGGAAGTGCGGGAATTTCAGTCGTTATCCACGACGAAATTTTTTCTAACACGTGTTACAGCGAGATGTTTACTCTCTGAATGTCAAATGCATATCAAGATTTAAACCATGTGAGCCCTTATTGGATGAATGAATACCATTGCAATATAATGGTAATGAATTAACAAATTGTGTAGATTTTACTTAAAATTAAATATGAATATCATAGAAGGTAGAAAACAAAGAGTAGAAAACTGAGATTATGTTCGTGGACAGTCGTGCAATAAAAATATATGCAGAAATTATAATCGTAAACACATACACCGAATATAACAATGTGAAATGAAAAAAATAAAGATGAATGAATTTATAATCAAATACACTGACAAAACTCAAACGCTTGTGTCCTTGAGAAATACCGCTGATTAGTTATGCTGTGAAAATTACGTAAAAAAAATGTGCTAAACAAAAAATAATTTCTTTCAGCAGATCACAATACAGGGAATAGAAATTTTTGAACAAATGAGTCTAGTGAAATCAGCCAAATAAACAGTTGAAATCAGAATCAAATACATTTAATCTGAGATTACTAAATCAGTTAAATTCGAATGATTAAAGGTTAGCAGATAATCTGATTTTGCAATGGCTGAAATCGAGACTCAAGTTTTCCAGCTTTTGAGTCGGACGAGTCAAGCAATTTTTAAAATCAATAAATAGTGTGAAATTTTGGGTGCGCACTGTGACAAAACATTATATTATATTGTTGAGAAGCAGGAGGAAGTACGAAGGACACATCAAGGTAACAATGAGAATCCATGGAGAAAGGTCATCAGTAACATCAAAAAACACAAAACAGAAACCAAAATTTTTAAGGGATCTGATTCGATTAATCATTTCACCTGATTAATAGAATTATTAATGCATGTACTGCTCCTCTAACTTCGTATTATTGAGATGATCAAAAGAACTGCATACCTGTAAAGAATCGCAAGTACCACTTCTTGATGAATAATTAATTTTATTTTTATCTAGAAATTTCGCACTTCTATGTTTTTTTTTTTTTTTTTTTTGTCCATTTTAAATTTCGCATTTCAAATATGGCAATATGTCATTTGAACAGATCATGGCTGAATCTTTAGTAGCACCAAGAAGCAGATTATAAGAACAACTGAGTATTCTGAAATAAGCCTTTCCAAACTTAATATTTACAATATTATACACATAAACTGCTCTGAGAAACCAACATATAATTTACACGAGAAGGCCAAAAATAAAATAGTGATTTGTACGAAACAAGGTAATAATTCAAAATAATAAAAGGCTAAAAATGATTCAAAAAAAAAAAAAAGATGCCGTACCTGCGACCATAAACATTAAGCGTTTCAAAAATGAAAGAAACCGATAAAAAATCATTAACTGCACTTCGACAGAGTTATAAAAACTTGCCTATTTCTTCTTTCAAGAGCTATAGCCCCGAAAATCTGACATATAGATTTTAGAATTTTAACTCTTAAAGAATTATGCTGATGCATTGAAGTATGCTACAATAATTTTTATGACACCTAAATCGATGAAAATGATTTTTCTAATGAAAATAAGAACAAAATGTCACTATAACAGAAATAAGATTGGCGTTTGGATTATAGATGTTCTGGAATATCAGTTATAAGTACCCGTTATGAGACTACATCAAAAATGAATTTATGCTTGCAATGTTTCTTCCTTAATGAACATCTGTGACAAATTACGAAAATTATTGAAATTATTATTATTATTATTGAAAATCAATTACTTTTCCTAATTCAATGCATCAGCATCATAATATATCATAATGGAATGCTTTATGAAGAATCAGTAGCGAACATTGTAGCGACAAACTTAATATCATGAGAAATAAAACAAGAAGAAAACAGGAAAGGAAATATCAACAATGTTACCTAAATATAACAGTGGTAGAATGTTGGTAAAGTAGATAAAGATTAAACGAAATTATGCTTCTTATGCTATGAATTTCATACATGCTATTTAAAAGTGTTTAAAAACTTTACATTTAACTGCAGAGAAAGAATTCTCTAAAATCATTTTAAAAATGTCCCTCTAAAGAGGTCAAAAAACCAGCAAATTCTCACAATTCTTATATTTTGAAAAATAAAAATTAAAGAAAGAAATTATATTTTTTGTAACATTTGCATAGGAAAAGTACCTGAATCGTTACATTTAATAACTATGCATTGTTGAAACGAACTCGTTTCTTTCCATTACCATTTATACAACCATTATTACTATTTGCAATATCACTCTTGTTATTATGATTCGGTACGATTAATGCACTTTTGATGCAAGTAGACAATCGAAGTTTATCATCGTTTAACAATGGTTCCTTTGGTATGCTACATGTAAGCAACGGTTCTATACCACTTTCATATGGCAATGAAGTAGTTGAACCGTTTGGAATAAGCTGTAGAAGATCTAAAGGTACTCGTCTTAATGGATATGATAGTTTTTTCACACGTTTTCCTGAAAAAAAAAAAAAAAGTGAAAATTATGATAAAGGAAAATATTTATAGCAGAGCTATTGCAATTAAACGACAACAAAATTAAACTACACTGATAATAAATAAGGAAGATAATTATATTTTCAAAATTCTTAAAATTACATAAACTATGCATATACTATGCGATAAATTAAAACCTACCATCTTCGACGTACAACAATGCTATTGCAATCAGAATAAGCAATGAAACAACTGCAAGCACGCTGGCAACAACCGTTATCCAGATACTATGTTCTTCATTTGTATGCTCTGTAGCACATACTCGTGATCCAATACATCCCATATTGCCATCAACCACGTTTCGATCGCCAATTGATGACAGCCAGTCCGCCAGCCATTCTTCACCGCAAATGCATTGCCAGAGATTATCTACAAAATGAAACTGTCTGTTTTTATTTGAAAAAAAAAAAAATGCAAAAATGGAGTATGCATAAAGAAAATTAGAAAATGCAATGAAAATTAGGAAAGGAAAGAAGGAGAAATTTGCAGTAAAAAAAAAAAAAAAAAAAAAAGAAAAAAAAAAAGGTGTAATAAGAAAGCATATCATAAAAAGTGCAGAAAAAGTCAAAAAATGAAAATCGATGATATTATTAATGAAGCATCCGAGACTACCTAAGGGTTCAACAAAAGGCAGAGGACAACTGCGGAAAATTTTGTATTCGCATTTTTCTTTTTCTAAATGACAAAATAAAGAGAAGAAAAGAAAGGACGACAAACCTGAGAAATCGACGACACTAAGTTGTTCAACATTGAGATTATCGAGTAACTGTTTGGGCAAATACAAAAGGCGATTACGATTGAGGTACAAACGTTTTAAAGGCAAACCAATGAATGCCTTCCCGTGTATCTGAAGCTCTTTTTTTTTTTAAATGGAATATATATAT